CCTGATTATGTTCTCTGTCCCACTTACTGACGTAATAATTCTACTGGAGCAGGATCATATACTCATTCATGTAACTAGAAGTTGTAACAATGGAAAACATTCAATGCTTCTATTACTGTTTGCTATCTGTTGTCTGACTTTTTTTTTATACAATGCCTGTGTTTCTGCCTCCATAGTTCAAAGGCTCTATTGGCAGGTGTATTTGGTAAAATCACTGATTTTATATACAGTAGATTTCTTAAAATGGATACATTTCTAGCATCATGTCATTGAAGAAAATCTGCTCCGTTTAGATTTAGATTTGTCTCCTTTGAGGCTGGTTATATGATCCTATCACGTTTTTCCATAGAGGGGACTCAAGGGCAGACCTGCATATGTTAGGGGGTGAAAAAACTGTATTAATCGACCTACTGACAAACAGAAAGCACTGATAGGCAGAAAAATCTAACATGGTCCCAAGGCAGAAATCCAAACAACTTTCAGGATGAAACAACGCTGAAACAGATCCACTACACTAAGGAAATGGAAAGTATTTACTCTAGGGGAGGTGATGATAAACACAAAAAAGGCACGTGACAATCAGTGACACAACTCTGGTGATAGACTTAATGTGGGAGGGGAAAAACTGCAAATTTAAAGTAAGCTGAGTTGTAAAGGCTCAAACCAGTTTCTAAATGACACAAACAGAAAATCAGGATCTGGATAATCCTTTTAAATGTCAACGGTAAAAGAAACATTACTCATAGACCATCGGTGGATTTACAATGAACATTAAAAATTATCTTGATTTTAGATATAAAAGGAAATGAGATATCTTTTTTGTGTGTAAGTATATGAATTAAAGTTAATTTAATCACAACAGAATGTACTAAAAGTCTCCGAGACTCAATTACCTCCAGCTCACACAGTAAAAAGATTAATCATTGTTTTGAGTGATTAAATTGGATCTGAAGCTGCTTCATTTGGGCAGGAAGAATAGCCTGTTATCAACTTCTTCACACAGCCAGTTAAGACAGTGAATGCACCATCAACTCGTTTCAAGTGCCTGTGACCTTCATTCTAGTTCTGAGTTTGGAACTGACTTAACACTTGATTAAAGTGGAACTTTAGATGTCAAAAGCGTGAACACAGACACATAGACAAATAGTGTGTGAGCGCGCCACTGACACACATTAACATCACACACAGATACGCTTCAGAGAGTGGCTCCGATCACAGAGGGGCACCCTGTGTCCTACTCCTGCCTGGCTGCTGTCTGATAAGCATTAGCCCTGGAACAGGTCTCACCGCAAAGGCTGGGAGTAATACAGTCTTTATCTGGATTGCCTCTAGTTCCGATACAAGCAAAGTCCAAAGCAACCTGGTTTCTGTTACCGGGCCGAAAGGGCTCTCAAACGAAGAAGATTACGTTTTCATTATAACGTCCTCGGACGTTATTTGCCTGTGACACAGGCACCATGATGTAGCACCTGAAACTTGTTTTATAACTTCTTATATTTACAATATTTTTGATCACAGAAGTGGGGTCCTTGTGAAGGAATCACTTCCATGACTCATCAGGTCAGGTGACTCCTGTACAATTAGTGGTGTCAGTCTGTGGTTGGCTCGACTTGGCTCACTTCAAACCTCCGACGAATAGTAACTTAGTTGGCACGACCCCTTATGGAAATGCAGAGTCTTGTCAGGCTGAGTTGCCCTAAGCAGGTACAAGTGGAAAATGGCCATTAGTGTCTTTAAAAGGTAACTTAAAAGTAAGTGTTTACTGGGTTTACCCTTTACACCTTACATTTTACAAGTGAGTGGCATCTATTGCTCCTGCATGTAAATAGTATCTTTTGTGCAAACATTTGAGAGAAGAAGACTAAGTTAAAGTCAACTTAAAGCCTTCTGTGCCAACTAATTATTCATCGTTGTGCAAAATTTGATGTAAAGGTTGTCTTTACTCTTCTTTTTTCCAGCTACCAGATCGCTGATGTTCATTTTTAATTACAGATGTGACTACACAAAGTTTTCAAATGTCAGCATGTAATAAAACCTGCTGTTTATCATGTAACTTTTCACTGTTGATTACCTCAGTAATTGCTGACATTTTTGATAATGCAGAATCCAAAATAACTGCCCGGTATTTCAGTTGTGCTGTTTGATGGAAATTATTACTTCAAAAGTGTAATTCATCCTTGAAGAAGCATTAAAAAAGACCCAAAATCTTCTACATGCAAAAGATATGTCGTGCATGTGGGCTGTTAATGGTAAACCAAGTAACAAACTCATCAATGCATTGAAGGTACCTGAACTCACACTCACCACTCTGATGCATAAATTGAAGCCGTGTGGTGTTGGAGCCAATCCGGAGGCTGCTCCAAGAGTGCGTGCTTCTGTGTGTGTTGCCCTCAGCAATGAATACAGGTCTCATTAGAATTGCTGTCATGTTGCAGCCGTGCTCGCAGTGTTTCATTGAAAGCACAGCTGAGCAACCAGTCAGGTTTCTGTATCGAGAAGGACCACTTGAGATTAAAAAGTCAAAAACGCCTTGCTCTATTTGCAGCCCAACCTGTTGCAATGTTTGAACATGTTCTTCAGAGGGGGAAAGCAGTGTGGAGTAAGATGAATTTGTCACAGTCTCTTTGTAAGTACGTGAGAGATTCTTTAAATAGTAATGCTGTCTCAAAGTGAAATTCTCTCCCAAATGGGAGCTTGTAACACCAGTGTTTTTGATTCATCTCCATAGTAACACCATTCTCATGTGTTTAACGTATAGAAGTGTGTGTGGAAAAGATGGTGCGTTATTGTGGCATAAATTATGTCTATTACACGGTCATTACCACAACAGATAATTGTGGCTATTAGGTTGTTAATCCTATTTTGTGTTAAATGGCAGTGACTTACTTTCGTATGGAATTTTTAAGAGAATAAGATCATAATGTCCAATAAAATTGCAGACATGTAACAAAGGATCTTAACAGGAAAGAGCTAAATAATAGTTGATAAATATGATACTGATAGCAGACAGTATTTAGTTTCCTAGCACACTCTAAATTATAGTTAATTCCTGGATTATATAAATGTGTTTCAGTAATATTTCAGGGACGTTCCATCTGATTCATAACTTAAACAGTAGAGGAAGAAATTCTAATTATTCAAAACCTCCATAACTTATTTATTCAAGGAAAGTAAGCATGATGCGGCACTGAACAAGTAAACAAATAAGTTATTCAATAAGGTAAATTGTTTGTTGCTCCTGCATGTTAATTTTTTCCCTTTAATCTACAACAGCAAAATGGAAATTTTATCACTTGGTTTCTACGATCGTAAATGTGTGCACAGAAAAAAAAAACAACCATTGTTGTACTGGGTAAAAAAGGACATTTTGGTTTCACTGCTGTTTAGCGCCTAAGGGCTGTTTCAGGCCGGGGAGCGAGCACAATCATTGAATACATGTGGGGGATAACGGTTTACAGGGCAGAAAACCAAAACATTGATCCACACAGGATAAAACAAGGATTTAGTCAGAGGACTTAATTTTTAATGCTAAACCCAAAATGTGGACTTGTTGGTTAAAACTGCACGGGTCAGTGGAGCAGCTTTATGCTGCATGTTGGTTCATAACGTAAACATATCAGTTAGTCAGCCAGTAAGTCGGTCTTTGCAGAATGAAACGCCCTGCTGGGACAGCCCACAGGACTTGAATTTTATTAAGCTAACATCACAGTAACAGATGCCCCGAGCTTCCCTCGGATGTTCTTTTTTGGCACCGGGACAGCCACCTTGATATTTCATTGGTAGTCTAAAGGCCCTGCTTCATCAGAGGGTATTCATCGGGAAAGTCGGCTCCCTCCGTTCCAGGAAAAAGAGACCCGTTGAGCAGCAGTTCAAAGCTGTTTTTCTGACAGGTGTTTATCGGCTCTGCAGACCACAGAGACGGTGTAATTTACGGCACCCTTCTAATGGTGGAGATACTGCAGGAGCATTTATGGCCTGTCACCGGGCGTGCATCCGCTGTAACGCCGGCAACAGAACTGAAGTGACAGGACGCACAGAGTCTTAATTTGTACACTGACGCAAAACACTTAGATTCCTGTATCATCTTGACACACCTTGACTGCTTTAAATAGATAAAAAAAAGTTAAACAAGCCGTATGCAACATGATCAATGATGTGATGCTGAACATGCCTATGTGTGATCTTTGGAAAGCGCCCCACTTTCCGGCTCCTCTGACAGCCCTCGTCTCAGTGCAGCTGGGGGTGGGGGGGGGGACATTCTCTCCAGGCTGCTGTCATTATTATTCAGGAGCTGGTAAATAGTTTTCACAAGCTGCCCCTGTGACAGCTGAGTGGGGCTGGGGCTCTCACTTGTTACGGATCACTTGGGCCGATTTATGTGTTTGCACGGTTGAATCGGGGTGAACTGGAGCTCTACGGGGGTGAGGGGTTCACGAAGGAGGTCTCAGAGTGAAGATAACATTTGAAAACGAACTTTTCCATGACGTAACAGCATCCGCACCAGCAAAAACCATCTGCTGAGCCCTTTTTTTCCCCTTCAGTCTGCTCCACCAAGGCGTCTGCATTATGTCACATCGCTGTGTGGCCAGAATAGAGCTATTTCAACGCCCTCCTGGTTTCACCGATAGAGACGTAACACATGAGGTGAACTCACACGTCTATTAAGTAGAAGTGAGCTTACAGCACTATACTGTCCACCTGAAGTAGAATATTTATCATGATGGAGTCAGAAGGCATCACAACAGTGAGAAATAACTACGGTTTGCTCCTGAGTGCACCATATGTTTGTGTTTGTGACATTTTGAGCGGAGCAGACAATTTTCTGCCGGTGATCTTGGTCACCCAGAATTATTTCTGCCAGTTTCATGTTGGGAAACAGCGGATCGTGACATTTGCATCCGTCCCGTTGAGAAGGACAAGTTTGTTTATTTTCGGGCGTCTCTTTGTGTTTGTGTGTTGGGACAGCAGGGGTTAAGGGTTTTTGAGGGGGTTTGACAAAAATGTTTGAAATGTCATTGCTCCTTACTCCGGTTGACTTTGAAAAGGTGACTCCCACTGTCTCTCCCTCTTTTCCCCCTTTCCCTTGCTGTCTCTGTCTTTCAGATAAGTTGTTTGGAAAGCGGCTGCTGCAGGCTGGGAGACACATCATGTCTCATAAATCCTGGATGAAAACAGTGCCCACAGAGAACTGTGATGTTCTCATGACATTTGCAGGTCAGGCACTCTGAGACATCTACACGTTTTTTTTCTAAATCTGCACAGTGTGTCAGAAAACATTCAATGAAGTGCAACTGTAGCACATAACCAAAGCTTTTGAAAAATGTGTGGGGAAAACCTGTTACCCCTGTTGTCAGGGAGTGGATGATGCCCCAAAGCTGGAAAAAAAAGTTTCGTAGGGACAAAAATGTTAAAGCTACGTGAAGTAAATGACCAAAGGTCAAATCTTGACCCCTGGAGTGCCCCAGCAAGGATTCAGTCTCATAAATGATAGGTCACCAATCATGCTCACATAGAAATAGAAAAATACTCTAAAAAGTTGCTTACTACTTTCAACATTTTTAAGATAAGTAAAATTAGCCAACCAATTATTCTCAGTTATAAACTATGTAACTAAGCTATATAAACTAACCATGCATATCAGATAGATATTGTGCTAATGTGGCCACACATGGAAACATCATTCTGTATGGGAAGTGCATCTTTTGGCCAAACACCTTTAATGTCGATGCTCTTTCATTTACCACAATACCTTAAATTGTTAGATATAAAACTGTGACATTACTTTGTCTCTGTCCAGGCAGAGAAGAATGCAGTTGTGTTGAACTCCTTTTTTTAGCCATTATTTGCAGCCGATCGGACGGAGTAAAATAGTTACGAAACTCCAGCCGCATCCCAGGAAAAAATAGTCTTCTACCGTGGGAGTGCCCTGTTGTTCCTGTGCGTAGCAGTGTGTGGGTGTGACAGAAAATGTAATTTTTGTTTTTCATTTGCTATCATAGACTTTACAGATGACCACACGTTACTATGGCTACTGAACCACATCCGGCTGGGAATCCCAGAGCTCATCATCCAAATACGACACCATAAGCACACCAGAGTGTACGCATTCTTCATCACCGCTACATACGAAAAGTAAGAGGTTTGCCTAGAGGCAGTTAAAAAAGAGTTCATTAATGATTTTCTTTCATTTAACTTTTATGTCCTTTTAACTGATTATTTCATGGTATTCTTTTTATTAATAGAAGTTATTTTTGTATGAAAAATTATTTTATTTTTAAGGTAAAATCTTTGTGTCATCCAGAACGCAAGGATTATATGTAAAGTTTGATGAAACAAAAACTGATATTTCACTGTCATACTGCACATTTTGTGCTGTAGTTAAGGGTGTTGAATTTGCTCCAGTTCTTGTCCTCCCTAGTTAAGAGTCAATAAGGAAAACTATATGAAGTTGCAGGAATGTTGAGAGGAAATTAGATTTGCTAATTGTAGCAAGCTGACCTAACTCTGTGAAGAAACATTTCTTCTCAAGCTCACGGGCACATTAGGGTAAACTAAGCTCATCTTAGAACCAGATCATAGAACCAGTTCATAATCATCTTAGAACCAGAAAACAGATGAGTTTACACAAAAGCATTTAAAAAATATTCTACTGTAAAATTTTCTGTAATGAAAGTTAGAATGAAAAGAGCTTACAAGTAACAATATACTATTTTTGTTCATAGTGGCATATGTTAGCAAAACTGCCTGTGAATAATACATTACCTCTTCCCTCGGTAATTTGCGGATATGGTTATTTTTAAACAACTAAAGTTGGAATGGAAAAGATAAAAATATCTCCGCAGTTGTGCGTTGGTGTCACATGGAAACTTTGTTTATATAGTTCAGTATTCGGCTGCTGCTATAGGAGACACAAAGGTTTTGTTTTTACAGGATCATACATTGTTTGCTGCTTGGAGCTGCCCTTGCTTTCTATCAAAGCCTTTGGACAATTGGGGATGAGCCCAAAGTAATTTTATTCCGAGTGCTGACTTTGGTGTACGAACACCGAGAAATACGACCCGAGACATCAAGGTGGCAGTTAGTCTGTACTTCATTTTTCCACTAGGCCAATGTTGAGCTCGGTTTTTGCTCACTGAGCATATGACAGCGTACCTCTCAAATGCAACATTTTCCTTGTGAAAAGAATAGAAACAGCTGAGTGGACTTTTGGAGAGGGGAAAGACAGAGCAGAGGCAGAGAAAGACGATACTGCTAAAGTAGGAGATTTATTGTGGGGGGAGATGGAGACGTATCAGAAAATGAAAGTGGGGAAAGGTAATGTCGTGAATGGATGTACTGTATGCTTTCTAAAAGTGTACCAGTGGGTTTTGGATTACCGTAAATGCCAAAGGAAAATGATTGCAGCATGACCCAGCTGCTCCCTTCACACACACACGGAGACACACACACGCACCTGCTGTCAGGTAGGCTGACCTACATTTCATCAGGCTGAAATTATAACCTAGAAAGTCTTCTGTCATCTCCCCCTCACCCTGGGCAGATGTTCCCCCTTTCTGTGGCAACAAACAGGCGTGTCACAGACCATGTGCTTATTTGTTTTGTCTGTTTCAATAATGTGGACAATACTTCTGCAAAGTGGAAGCTCTCGCTGGAGTTCTTGCTGAGTAGAAAATCAGGAGCTGCGCAGCAGGAAGTGTTTTTTTTTTCATTTTCAGGAAGCCAATTGCTTTCTTTAAAAGCAATTTTAGCAGAACACAAAACTTTAGGTGTCAGCTCAGCCTTACGCAAATATCCTTGTCCTATTTTTCTTACCTGACACACCATCCATTACTCACTCCTCAGCTCTGACCGGGCACTTTACCGCAAGCCAGCTTGTTCTGCTGAGTTTCATTAGCACACAATATGTCTGATAAATATTTGCTAAATTAGCATAAACCTTACAAGCAATCCTCTCCCTCAGCAGTGTTCTGCTCTTTTACAAGGTTGATTTTGTCCACGTGCTGCCTTTTACTGCTTCTCCACATTTAGACTACCTGTTTTTACGGAGAGAGGGAGTAAGACGCCAAAAACTCGAATGCATTTTTCTGGCCACAGCAAGAGCTGCACACCTCTGAAAAAGGCCCTGAAGTGCATTAAACAGTTGTGTTAGACAGATACAGCCTTTATTGTGATGCTGCTGCACACGGAGCTGCCTTCTTCAGTGACACAGAAGCTTTCATCTCACATTCTGATGTAATCCATCATGATGCCGCCCGCTCTTCAGTGTACTGTCCCTCCAAGTGCATGCAGCATGATGGATGGATGCTACAAGCCCACCTAAGCTGTGCTCCTACATGTGGGTGTGTTATGTGTATATATATCTATTCGTGTACACATGAGGGCGAGGTGAGCTGTTGGCCTGTGGGGAATGGAAGGCGTGGTGCTGCATTATCATTGCAATTTCAGTACAAGGCCGCTGGGAAGGACAGAAAGACGGGAGAAGGCAAAGATGGGATAAAGGGGGTTGGGAGAGGCGAGGATGAGAGATAACTGACATAATGATGAAGACCGAACAGGAAGGGAAACAGAAATAGCATGACGAGAATGAGGGTTGAACTCAGTGGTTGTTTATGTGTTTGCCATTATTTCTCAGTACCATGATTAACATTCAGAATAAAAACGCTTTCATATTTTGCTGAAATCTATCCTGAGCATTAAGGGGTCCTCTAACTGCCGGCTACATTTAATTGTTGCTAGAGAAAATTAAATGGTTAATAGAGTTTCGGTAATTAGCCTTCTTATGGTTTCCCCAAACTGAAGATGAAAGATTTCACAAAGCAGAAAGGTCTTGAATAACAGGAATCAATGTTTGTTTTTCCCAGCTGAAAAAAACAGTGCTTATTGCTGTTACTATACAATCCCTCTCCGCCTACACAGTGTGTGGTGTAACCACCGGCAGAATGAAACAGCTTTAGGGTCACCACAATGCATTAGTTCAGGTTGTAGGCAGTGGGTACACCAAGGAGATGTAACCAAAAGCAAAGTGAGACAAAAAGAATACACTGCAAAATACATCCTGAAAAGTAAAATGACGGAAAACGGCTTTAATGCTGCTGCAGTTTGCTGCGTGGCGCTGAGGAGATGGGCCTGAGGAAGGCGGTGAAACCAGAGTTCGGCGGGGGGACGCGCAGCTTCTCCTGCGAGGAGGACTACATCTACGAGAACATCGAGAGCGAGCTATGCTTCTTCACTTCACAGGTCGGTGTGTTTCCCTCCGACACACGAAGCCCACGCACGTGTTCGGGTCTTCCTAGCATTGCTTGGTGTTCTTTTTGTTGCAGGAGAGGCAGAGTATTATCAGATACTGGCTGGATAATCTACGTGCCAAACATGGAGAGGTTCTCCACAACATCAACTTCCTAGAGGGCCAGCCCATCAGTAAGCAGTGTCCTCTAGCAGCACAGTGTGTCTGTGATGTGTTTCTTTTGTTCTTATAACCCGAAGGCACATCTTTGACTGACTTTGGAAGCTATCTTTTTGTTGCCCTGGCCTGATCTCATAGTTCATTCGTCTTATGCTGTTCTTCTATTTGTTTCTCTCTAACTAATTGGCGTATTTGGTGCTTTCTGGTTTACTATTTGCAGTCCCAGAGTTGAGCGCGAGAGGCGTGATCCAGCAGGTGTTTCCCCTTCACGAGCAGAGGATCCTCAGTCAGCTGATGAAGTCTTGGGTGCAAGCTGTCTGTGAGAAACAGCCTTTAGGTCAGTGTGTCAAATATCATTTCCACAAAGACACAAAGTTTTGTTTTGTTTTCTATTGGACAGAGCAACAGAAAAAAATCTTATTGATGTAATCTTTACTATCAAAATGGTATTTTCAGATGACATCTGCGACTACTTTGGGGTGAAGATAGCGATGTACTTTGCCTGGCTGGGTTTCTACACCACTTCGATGTTATATCCTGCTGTGATCGGGTTCGTGCTTTGGATGCTCACCGAGTCAGATCAGGTGAGGAGAACTCTTGGAAAGCCGGTACTGCCAATAGAAATATCCATCACCAGGTCACCCTTCCGAGCTGCGTGTTCTTGTTTGGCTTGCCTCAGACGAGCCGTGACATCTGCTGTGTGGTGTTTGCCCTCTTCAACGTGGTGTGGGCCACTCTGTTTTTGGAGCGGTGGAAGAGGAGGGGTGCCGAGCTGGCGTACAAGTGGGGAACTCTGGACGCACCCGCCGAATCTCTTGAGGAACCCCGGCCTCAGTTTCGGGTGAGGGGAGCTTCGGCTGCCACTCGGTTCAGGTTTCCATCCGCCTCTCCTCTCTTTCTCACCATCGTTTCCTGCTTTCTTCCGGCAGGGAATCAAGCGCTGCAGCCCAGTAACAGGCTGTGAGGAGTTCTACTACCCTCCGTGGCGGAGGCGCGTGTTCAGGTGGCTGGTCAGCCTGCCCATCTGTATACTCTGTCTTTGCTTCGTCTTCCTGGTCATGCTCATCTGCTTTGAGCTGCAGGTCAGTCAGATGTCCACACTTTTTAATCTGTGCTCTTTTTTTCTTTTGGAAGGTTAACTTGCCAACTTTTTTGTTTAGTTTATTGGTGATTCAGAAAGGATCTTAAACAAGTTTGTTATTTGATAACTAGATTAAAAAAAAAAAAAAAAGAAAATAGAGGTTTAAAAACAGATTCTTCCTCCTTTTCCGATTCAATCCAGAGGAATTTGAAAGCATGTTTACATGTTGGCACCTCATGTCTTTTGCAAGGTTGACCAGTAAGGGATTTAATTTGTGTATCTGCAGGAGTTTGTCATGGGGATCAAGGAAATGCCTCGGCTGGCCCGCTTCATCCCCAAAATCATGCTAGCTATCACTGTGACTGCATGTGACGAGGTGTACAGAAAAATTGCCTGCTGGCTCAATGACATGGGTGAGAGTCAAAAAAATAATCTGCTGTTAAAGCAGAATATCTCTAGAAAAAAATAACCAGCCATTCTAAGCAGTTTATTGTATTGTATTGTTGGCTATGCTATGTTTCCACAGAAAACTATAGACTCCAGAGTGCCTATGAGAAAAATCTCATCATCAAAATGGTTCTTGTAAGTGTACTTTCTCAATGGTATTATTAAACTGCTATTATTTTTCAAAATGTGCTTTCCACAGTTTTCCTTACTTTAACACTTTGCATTTCTTTGTCTACAGTTTCAGTTTGTAAATTCTTATCTCAGCCTTTTTTACATTGGATTCTACCTCAAAGACATGGAGCGCCTGAAAGAGGTACGGTTCTGATGCTGTCCAGATATCACAAATGTCCACATCCCGCAGCAGTCTTTCATGTTGAAGTCACCCATTCATCCATTTGTGAAAGATGCTGCAGGTTTTGTGCCTGGTACGAAGTTTGCAGCGGCAGGTCCGAGTCAATTTGCTGCCTTCCCTGATCTTCAAGATCCAGACATTTGTGGTGTCTGTTCCCTGGTCCTACAGGGCTTTGCTTGAGTCCAAAGTATGAGTCCGGTTAAGCCTGTTTGGGTGGAATCAAAGGTTCAGGGGTCTTTGCTGTGTTACCGCATGCTACATTTTCACCCAAAAAAGCTTTGTGTATTCTGTATTGCCTACTTCTGAACTGGTGGTCATCATCCAGCTGTTTATAATAAGCTATTTACTTTGGAGGGCCTATGACCGATGACTTTTTTTACGACATGCTCTGATTGATCAAAATTTCTCAAAACATCCTTCCACTTTCACCAACAAGGCTCCCTTCTTTTAAATAATCTGTCACAAATTGATCTTCTTGTGATTTCTTTGTAGGTGGAATCGACATCATTGATTGTCTTTTTACTGATCTGATGATTTTTTTGTGAGGGTGTTTTTCTTTGTGCGTTACGTACGATAACTGTTTTTACTTCCTTGTCAGATGCTGGCCACTCTACTCATCATCCGCCAGTTCCTTCAAAACGTGAAGGAGGTACTGCAGCCTTACCTGTACGAGCGCCACAAGTTGGGGGAGCTCACAATGAGAGCCGTGTGGGACCTGCTGCTCTCAGTGCTGCTGAAATATGCCCGGCTGGCCGCTGGAAAAGCTCAGTCCTCCCCCACTGACCAGGCCATGCCAGGACCCGGGCTAAGAGGCACCAGGCCAGGAGTGGGACACCCAGAGCGAAGGTCAAAGTCCTTAAATTCTGAATCCAGACATAAAGAAATTAAATAGTATTGTGTTGGTAGAATTAGCTCAAATAAGGGAAAATAACAGCTTAAATAACTGACATTCATCATTCACAAAAAATGTCACTGTATTAGTCATTACATATGTGGGTCAAAATAGAAAACCACTTCATCTTCTCTGCCACCCTATGTGTCCTACTTCATTTATGCCACTCAGACTACGAGTAAACACACCCTCAGATCACCACTTTTAGAGGCTAGCACAGTTTGTCTGACACATTGTCTGCCTTGAATTCCTCTCAGGGAAAAGAAGTGTTTGAACGGTGGATGTGGAGTGCCTGATGAGGAGGAAGGAGGTGAGAGGGATGAGGCTGACAGCGGGAGGTTCAGTGAAGGGGAGACAGAGGAGGAAAGCTTGATCGACTGCGGTCTGAAGCTGAGGAAAGTCAGCTTCATAGAAAAGGTACAATACTGTGTGGTGTGCCTAACCTCTTCATGCTGTGGCATTGCATTAATTCCACGTGACGGCGAATACTGTAACAGTAGCTGTTTCTATGCAGGTGGACAGAAGGCCAGCCTGTAGCGGACCCCCCATGGAAAACAGTTTCATGGAAGAGGGGAGCCCCACCATGGTTGAAAAAGGAATGGACCCCGCCTCTGTGTTTGAAATGTGCGATGACGACGATGACAATGGAATCCACGATGTGAAGGACTCATCAGGGGGCGGGGCTGAGGGGAATAACGCCGCCGCCGCCGCTTCAGCTTCAGCAGCAGCAGCTGCAGCTGCAGCAGGGGCAGCCACACTGCCCTCTGGGCCCGACGGCAGCATATCGCTGCGGCACAGGAGGAGAGGCCGGAGCGTGGAGAGGCCCGAGCCTAAAGCCAAAAGGGAGTCGTGGATCGATCCCCCCGAAGAGAGCGAGAGCACAACGCTCACTCAGGCTGAGATGGAGAGCTGCATGCAGACTTATTCTGTAAGAAGGACTCTTTGCTTATCTTAACCAGTGCAGTTTACAGTAAAACGTGTCTAGCTGAAGTCTACTAACCTGTTAGTTCTCGTGAGGCAACGGGCCAACTGCTGTTTTGCTGCAGCCAAAGAAAAGTATTCCATTTGATTCTTTGGGTATTTATTTAGCCATTTCGTAACATTTTTAATTTACAATTACCGGTACATCTTATGCTGCCCAGGAACTAAAAATTAATCCACAGCACCAGCTAAAGAGAAAAGGAACTAGTTAACCAAGTGGTGAGCCCTTTGCGTCATACTATTGTCTGAGTGCATGTATGACACACAGTCACCAGAATACTTTACTTTACTAGATTATGATTCAAACGAGTAAAATATGCATGCTGTTTTGACATGTGCCAGTGTTTTCCCGAATGATTCAAACTGCACGGCGCCAGTTAAGGCTGGGGTTTAATGCAAAAACTTGTCCTTTATCAGGACACCTTCCAAGACTATCAGGAGATGTTTGTCCAGTTTGGCTATGTGGTGCTCTTCTCCTCCGCCTTTCCCCTGGCTGCCATGTGCGCGCTCATCAACAACATCATTGAGATCCGCAGCGATGCCTTTAAGCTGTGCACCGGCCTGCAAAGGCCGTTTGGGGTCAGAGTGGAGAGCATCGGCCAATGGCAGGTAAGCAAGCGATCAATATAACATTTGATCATGAGATTCTTTTGCTTTTCTTGTAAATTGATTTACCAAAAATAAATGAATAGATAAATACTCAATACTTTGAAAACCATGGCCATTTTATAATTATGTAAATGATGTTAAGTCATTTCATTTTACCAGGACGACAGTCAATTACAATAAAGTATAATCGTCAACTCATGTCAAATTTACAGTGGTATGAAATGTTTTTCCTCCTGTTCACAGACTGCCATGGAAGCCATGGGCCTCATTGCAATCATTGTGAATTGCTATTTGATTGGTCAGTGTGGTCAGCTGCAGCGCCTCTTTCCTTGGCTTAGCCCTGAGATGGCCATCATCTCCATAGTCATCCTCGAGGTACAACTTCATTCTATTCATCTGAGGGGCTTTTTTATTCTTACCAACTCATTAAATGTTGCTTTTAAATGAGCAAAATCACTTCTGTAGTTCTTTTTTAAATCAGAAGTTATGCCTACAGTGTCAACAAGGCAAGCCCTAACAGCCTATATGGTCCAAAATATGTGTTTGATTGGTTCTGGAGTTATATATGCTTGGTTTGTATATGCTTTGAGGAAATTCTTCTATCAGAAGCTAGAAAGCTACAGGAGACATAATGTAAAAGGCGTCACATGGTAAATGTGATTATATCCCAATCATGACAATGTATTTTCCTAAATGTCGGAGAACCAAAACATTGCTGCTGTTAGGATTGAAAGTCGTACATATAAAAATGAGTTGGAAATCGGATCTTTTGAGAAAGCAACAACAAATGGAGCAGCCTCTGATGCTGCTGCTGCCTATAGTATTTTCGGATCTGAGTTGTGTCAGCTCTGCACTCTGTGCCTGTCTATATTAAGAAAGAGGTAAACGCCTGAAGCTCTGTCTTGACCTGATAGAGTAGTCAGCCGTATCGAGAGGACAATTTTTACAGCCCAAATATTTTTAGCAGGAAATACTTTCTAGTATCAGTTCGAAGCACGGTGGCATTTTTCTGATATCTGGTACATTAATAACAAGTTTATTTTTCTAAAGATTCATTTCAGGTGTCATTTTTTCTCTTTTCCACCTGCCTGTTTGTTTCAGCACTTTGCGATCCTCCTGAAGTACGTCATCCATGTGGCTATTCCTGACATTCCTACATGGGTCAGAGAAGAGATGGCTAAACTCGATTATCAACGTAGAGAGGCCTTCAAGGTAAATGTAGAAGCAACCTGACTTTACCTCAGTTTTTTATGGAGAAGTTGCCAGGGATCCTTCCACTTTTTGTCAAAGGACTCAGGTTTTTCCTCAAAGGACTACTTACCTAACTTTCTGCTGCATAATGTTTTACTGCAGCACTGCTGGGTTATTTTCAGACTGTTTCAGTTACACTCGTACTGATTCTGAACAACTCAATTTTAAAAAATGTAGGGACGGTACGTAAAGTCAAATAACATACAGAACGGAATGACTTGCAAATGTCATTAAATGTTGTTATATTTTAACAATTATATTTCATAACGCTTCGAATGATGAAATGAAATTACAGCTTAGGGGTGCTTTAGTGTCTACGGAACTTTCAGGATTTGCAAATCACTCTGTTTTTATTTCATGTTTGACACAATTGTGGAATGACTGGTGCGGCCAGATATGATGCACATTAAAGAGAAGAGATTAGTTTGTAGTGGCCTCTGCACCTAGGATCTTACTGTTCTTAGGGATTTTGTTAAATGGGTAGTAATGCACGATTGGACTGGTTAGCTGGGTAAGTGCTGACTTTAGTGCTTACATGAATGGTCCCGTTACTCTGCAGAAGCACGAGCGGCAGGCCCAGCAGCACTACCAGCAGCTGCAGCGGAGGAAGAGGGATGAAGAGGAGAGGCAGAGGCAGGCGGAGCACATGGCCCGCAGGGAGAGGGAGAGGGACGACAGCAAAAGCGACTCCTCCGGGGACCACCACCACGATAAGAACCACGGCAGCAAGTCTCGATCCGGAGGGGGCGGGGGAGGGGCCGGCTCATCGGACAAACCCAAGAGGCCCAGCTCGCTCCTGGCCAACAACAATGTGATGAAGCTGAAGCAGATCATCCCCCTGCAGAACAAGTTCTCCTCCAGCGGCGCCCGCTCCCCCCAGTCGCCCACCGGCAACGAGCCCAAACTCCCCGGCTTCCTGAGCTTCAAGTTCCTCAAATCGCCCGAGAACAAGAAGGAGGGCGCCGCGAATTCTTCTGCCGCCGCGGCCTCGTACGGCACGGCGGCGGCGGCGGCGGCGGCGTCCTCCTCATCCTCATCGTCAGGTAGCAGCTCACAGGAGCGTTCTCAGTCACCCAGCAAAGCCTTCAACCCCGGGAAGTTGTTTAACTTCGGGAAATCCGAAGGAGGGGCGTGCGTGAACGGGGCTCCCCCTCCCAGATCCGGAGAGGGATCATCATCATCATCATCACAGGAAAGACAAACGTCCCGCTCGGACCTGAACGGCGTTCCGGAGGAGATCCCCTCGCCGGGAGGCGAAGGCTCGCTGAACGGACACAGCACAGACTCAGACCAGGCCAGCTCCAAAATGTAGTGCAGGAAAACCCTGTCCCTGGTTCCATCTCAGCTGAAGAGTCGATGTGCTCACGGTGAGGAAAGGCCTGACGCACGCCCTCTGTGCTGTCAGAGGCCGTGCGAAACGAGGAGCAGAGAGGTAAAAACTGAAAGTGGCGAGGGAGCGCTGCGGTGTCGGTTTGCAATTGTGCCGAGAGACAAAAAAAAAAAAAAACGGCTCTGTAAGACAGACGTAAGCCCATCTGTCATGACCGAAATATAACACATACACACACCTTCAGACACAAAACACGGATATTCTTCCTTGTCTGCAATACATAAAGAAATGCATGAGCTGCGTTTCTATTGTTTTTTTTAGCCTTTCAAGCAGAGAGCTTAGTTTCCTCATTTCTTCTTGTCAAAGGTTGTAACATCTCAGTGGCCTCGCACCCAGACAACAACCCGTCATGGAGAAAATGTATTAAAACAACACATCCAATGGTATGAAAAAATTGCAGATTGTATATCGAATATCTGAGTTTTTTTTTCTTTTTCTTTCTCATTTACCCGTCATAGCAAGAAATCATTAGATATCCCTCTCATTTTCAAGTATGAAATTCCTTGGGCCTGTCACTTTTATAATGAGGCAGAAAAAAAGGAAAAGCAATATTGAGCCGTGTTTTGATGATCCTTATCACGGCAGAAGCCTCCATCTATAATCGTTGCTGATAGATCACCAACTGTACTTTGTAAGCAGCGGTGATGTCTCAGCTTTCAGCTTTGCTCCCTCCCTGTGGATTATTTGTCTGAAAAGAAAGTCGAGTTGTCACTACCAGTATTTTTCCTAAGAGATACAAAAGAAAGAAGTTAAGGGGAGAAAAACAAAAACTAGTTGATGGAGGTAATCTTTGAGAAAGTGGAGCATGGGCGCCTGTTGCGTGCCGTTCTCCATCCAAGCCCGGAGAACGCCTTGTAAACACAGATGGTGCTTCGCTCCACACACTCCAGCCAGACTTGGCAAGTGAGTATAAAATTAAAGCAGTAACGCTTGCACTAAACCCTGACGACACATCTCTCCCTTCAAGGGAGAGGCCTGAAGCCAGCCAGCCCAATTAAATTATGCAAAAGCTGGATTCTTTTGTTTCCTCTTTTTATTCCCTCCTTTCACATACTGAAAGTAGCTTCTCATCCTTCTTTACTTTCAACAAGTATGTAATTACACAATATTCAGAGGAGCTTCGTCTTTGGTTCTCATTCATTACATAAGTTTTAGAAAGATCTTTTGGAGTTTTTTGCTTTCATTTACTAAAGTGAAACGACGATGCACAGCATTCTACAAAAGATGAAGGCACTAAATTATAAAGATCATGAGTGAAGGATGTGATTAAAACTAAATAAGCTTTTGGAATTAGGTTGATAAATACCCTTTGTCTTACAGGACCCAGACGGTGAGGTTATTTCAAGCGTATTAGACCCTTTGCCACATTTCCTAGATGTTGTACTGGTCACGTGACGTCACACTGACTCATGACGTGTCGCTGAAAGGGCCAAAACCATTGTTTGTTTGTTCTAAAAGCTCCAAACATTATGAAGTGCTCAAATCTTTTGTAATATATTGTCTTTCTATTATGTAAAAGACAGTTCCCTCATGTAAGCCCATCGTCTAACATTTATGAGTACGTCAATTCTGCTGTGTCTCCAGAAGGTGGTGCCAGTTTGTCAGCCTGTACAAAAAAAAAAGAAAAAGAGAAAAAAAAACTGGTTCAAATCCAAGATTTTTGCTCTGCCCGTAAAATCAGTCGCTTTTCATTGTCAGTGTCAGGCTGCACTTTTGAAGTGGAATGCATTATCCGGGAACAGGATGGCATACTGAGAAATGGCCGTTGCACTGTACTGTGGTTTGGAAGACAGGAACATTAACTATGCATTTCCACACATTTTCTTCTGGTAAAGATTTTTGGCAATAATGCTGGGTTGAAGTTGACCTGCGAGACAGTCACTCTGAACTAACATACCGCGCTGCAATTCCAGCAGCCCCATTCCCAGCTCATTCTATGCATCCTTTCTCCATGTCCCTTTGTTGTTGATGTCTTTTTGTTTGTTTTTCGCTCACTCTCAGAGATCTCCTTTCTCATATGGAGATTTTAAAAAATCTGCACTGACCCAGAGTTAAAATGATTTAATTGATTGACCATTGTGGGTTCAGATTTACTCTTTAAATGTATTTTGCTCTACATTAACGTTATCGTTTATGTCATTTTGCCAAACACCTGCAGAAAGGAGAGACTTGAAGTACTTTCACTGGCAGACAAAAAAAAGCTAACGCAATACAGGAATGAGCAGGAATACACATCACAGCCTACAGTGTGTTGCTCATTTTAAAGCTAAAAAATGTCATGTAATCTTTTCTGATTGTACTTACAGGCCAGCAAAGGGACATTGTTCATGACAACAGCTATCAGTCTCTAGCAATTGTATCGTTTCAGAATTTGGAGTTCAGGAATAAGCGACATCATCATGCAATACTGTCCATTCTTCATTTGAAAATCTGTGCAGAAAATGAACAAGTGAAATCGGGCGATGGAGATCTGGGCACCTGCTGCTGGAATTTGGTCATATCCTGATGTGTAAAGTTCCACCTTATCAGCGATGGATATGGAATTAAAAAAAAAAGGTTTATTTGTGGCAGCTGCATGATATTTAGAACTTTAATAGAAAACATCATCCTGTGTCTAAAACAGTGCTATCAGACTAATTGGGCAAAGCACAGGTATCCATTGAATGAAGAGAGCAGCTCGGGCCACTGAGACCCATCACGCATTACTAATTCAACATCGAACGAGCAGTAGTTCTATAAAAATGTCCAGTCTTAACTTCCCTTTTCCAACATGATAAGTTTAATGTGAAAATACTGAGAAAGGACCGAATGGGTTTAGTAAATGTCTGGTGTTCTGGATTTTCGGTTGGATGTGAACAGGTGATATTCTCACCACAGCTACATTGAAACCTGATCCAAACCTCACAATCAAGACATTTTCATGGAAGCTTCACTGACAGAACATCACACGCTCTTCCAATGTACAACTGTACAAAAAAATCTTTTAAAGAAAAATACTGGGAAATGGGAGTATTTATTTCTTTTAATTTATTTTGTCATATTTTTGTAAACTCTGGAAATAGTTAATAAAACTCTTGCAAATGCAGTGAATGTGTCAGTCTGATAGTTCTCTCAGAAATCATCTTGCATGTCTCTTTTTTTCCACACCCCACTTGTATTAAGCATTTATAACAGCAACTTCCACATAGGGCTAAAAATTCACTAAGCATTTGTCTACCAGGTTAGTATATTATAAATGGCTATTTTAGATCTGCATAAAGTTTAACTTGTTATGCGATTTATGCAATATCCAAAACCAAATCGACAACACATTATTCTCTTGCCTCGGTGAAGGACACACATTTAAAGCACACACACACCCAGAACAGTTTAAATCCAGTTTTATTTGAGCAAAGCTAAAAAGAACATCTGATTGATCACATGAGATGGGGGCAAGGCTCGGGGTGTAGTTCAACAGTCTATCAGAGCAGAAGCATAATGTGGTTTTTATGCTTGAAAAACAGGGCATGTGCGCTGTAAGTGGGAACCACACCGGCAACCCACACTGCAGCACTGGCTGACCAAGGGACAGGAGGCCTCGATGCGACTGCTGGGCAGTGATAAGAACATTTACCAAAAAGACAAGCTAATTTATTCAGCGTTGCAGTCTCTGACACCAGTAAAAACTCAATGTGGGGAACAAGGCAGGATGGTGACTGCACTTTCCTGTGCATGCTTGTTGTGCGTTCTATGGCTGTGGAAATGTAACGCCCCTTCCAGCCTTCTTTACTTATTGAAGTAGGCTCTCGGAAAAAACCCACTCGGACTGTCAGTCGACATGGTGAACAATGCAGCTTACGGGACCCTGAGCCGGGGTCCAAACAAGTTCATGACACGTTGTAAGGCCTCTAGGCTGACACCTCCTAAATTCACATAAGACAGCACCCCAACCACCGTCGGTTTTAGAACTGGTCATGAAACAACACCCGGCTGTGAAAAGGTGAACATGCAAGGCTAGGTTACATCCACAAGCCATTTGGGCGCTTCCATTTGTTATAATAATGGTCTCCTTCTAATAAATCCATAGGTATGTTTTATTTAACAAAAAGGCAGACACAAACATACTCAATTGGATAAACTAATTCTGGTACTGTAATTATTTACACACAACACAATGCAATTCTTTCCCTTTTCCTCGCCACTTTAGATATTTTTCTTCAGTATCTGTGCTGTTATGAAGTTGTGCAGCTGAAAATGCATTTTTAAATAATATTTTCCCATTTAGAATTGACTCTTTTTTCCTTTTGCATATTTTGCTAAAAGAGTCCAAACCTCAGAAATTCCTACTATACTCGCCTTGCTTCAGTAGATGTACGAATGCTTCTCAGAAACATCATTATTCATCTTACAAACAGTTCCAAGAACAGAAAGCTGATATTAGTATTCACCTTAAACACATATTTAAGGGGGGACTCAGGAAGAGTTGGCTCTCCTTTGTGCTCTTTGTCACAGTGCATTCTTGGTTCTGGAGACTCAAAACAGAGAAATGCTGCAATGCCCCCACGTGGTTGCAGTGGGCAGTGAAACTGAGAGGGCGGGCACTGTGGCTGGCAGGAAGCTCATTGCCATACATACACAACAAGTAATAATAAAATTAAAACGGTAACAAAAAGGTTCACAGATCACAGCAGACTGTCCGGACGACAGAAGGCTACACAAATCATAGCTTTTAAAAGTAGTGTCTGACTTTATCCGTCCCGTCTGCGTCTCTTTTGAATCGACTCACTTCTTCAGCCATTCGCTCGCCTCACACACACACACACACACACACACACACACACACACACACACACACACACACACATACAGTACAACACACTACCCATACACACCCAGCTCAGCACGCACACAAAAACATATATGTATGCTAACACACACAGGGCATAGTCAAGACTGACAAAACATAAGAATACAGGTCCCACCGCACCAACAGCCATATCCAGTCATCTCAATAAAGACATGAAGATGACTCCAGGATACATACAGCTGATAGCTGATTTGCTCTCCAGTCTCTGTGGGTGACAGCTTACGCCCAGAAAAAAAACACTTTTCTTTTAGGTGGGAGCATTCTTTCTCTTCGGTAGGTTACATTGGCTACACTCTGCATGTGCGAGCACACATACACTCTCTCCGTCGCACACACAAAGAGACACACACATTTTATGAATCTTCATTCATCTCTTGGCTATCTGTCCTGGCGATCTTCCTGGGGGGTGCCGGACTGTCGCTCTCTCCTTGCTCCTGTTCCCTTTTCTTTGCTGCATTCTGTTCAACACAAAACACAGCTGTCAGTTGAGTCCCTATTTGCTTTGGTAAGAATCCAACTTACAACTATTTTGTATTTTCTTCTAACACATGAGGATCTAATGTGTACTTATTACGTCACTCTTAGGGAATAGTGCCTCACGCTCACTTTTTTGTCCCACTGCTGGTGAAGGTAACGCAGGAGGATGTTGGTTTTTTCTGTCACAATAACTATAACGGAGGGGAAAAAACATATCACTATTACATATTACATAATAGGTTCTGATTAAAGTTGTAGAGGGAGGACCACACCTTAATAAAGCTCTAAAAGACTGAACTTGTGAACCTGAGGATTATGGTTAAAAAGCATGGTCATGGTACACTTGAACAACAAATTTAAATGTAAATAATAAACCCAGTGTCATAGTTGTGGCAGATTAAGTCACTGTCTGTACAGACTTGTTAATCTTTCTATGAGGATGTCATGACCTGTTTGTTCTCATTCACAATCAAGACCAAAGGGAACGCTGTCAAATATGTTTTCCACACCAAACCTGAAGCCTTTGATATTCTACAACACTAAAAAGTGGGAGCTTTCAAAAACTCATCAGATCTTCAATCAGTCACATTTTTTTAGCATTTTTCCGCAGACATAAAATATATACATATATATGACAAAATATTCACTGCAGGTTTTTAAAACTCTTCCCTCTTTATTTCTGTGCTTCTCTTATCTCACTGGTTTGTTTTTTTAAACCTACAAGCCTTTTCGCCACAACATTTTCAATGAATGTCATGTATATAACACATTAAATAAACATGTATATCTCTTTAATAGCCTATTGCCAAAAATATTTCATAAATAATACTCACTCTGTTCAGAGGGGTATTCACGTGTTGGAAGGTACACAGAGGGCCTTCGATTCTGTACAAAAAAGATGAGAAAATTAAAATTTAAATCTTTATAAGTCCCTCAGCCTTTGAATCTTTACATCACTGCATAAAGATGCAACCATCACACTTAAACAGCTAATTGTTACAGAATATTCCTGCTGTACCTATTATACTGTTGTAACTGTGAATAAGTTATAGTTGGTTAGATCTGGTTTATAAGCTTATGATGGAGATTATCATCTTTAACCTTGAGTGCATCTACATATAAGAAAAACAGTTTAGGAATTACAACAATGATATATGGAAGAATATTTTCCAGGTGTTTGATTCAAAGTAGGAAAAAATAGTGAGTCTTTCTGAACCCAGTTGGTTTATCAGATTGAAATGTGAAGACTGATCCATTTCAGAATATTGCAATGTTTGCTCTAGAAAGCCCTGCATTTCTTTCAGAGAATGATTTTGGTCACTGGGAGCCTGTTTGTGCAGAGCCATCCAAACAGCTTAGCAGCATTTGGCTGAATCAAATCAGATAGTTCAGACAGTGTCTCTCTGTACTTCAGAATACACCCAATTGCATCACTTTCCCTCACTGCATCAATAAATAATAGCGACCCTGTGCCACTTGAATCCATCACAGTTTTTTTCTGAATTGCAGAGGTTCTGAGTAACATAATGACCTTTAAAAAAAAACAATACTCAGATGCACTTAGCCTCCTCTATTCAAATTTTGCTAGTCTAATTTCCGAGATCACAGTGCGGTGAATACACACCATTAAATACAGTATCATGCATGTGATTACATTGAATTAAGCAAAAGCAAACAAACAGTACACAGATGTCCATGAAAAAGGCATCAGATCATTTGATTTTGTGTGCCAAACTTTTGTAACCCTGAAAAAGGGCCTTACGTAAATATCAAAGAGTAACAACTATCTAACTTTGGCTAAACTCTATTCTAAGCCATTTTTACACATTACAACACCAAGTAAAGGAAAGAAAACACTCAAACATGTAATACAGCTATTTCTATAGCTAAAATATGTAAGCATTTGATTTTTCTTCTAGTTGTAAACCCTTAACCGGTATATATGGCAAAGTTATTACATAATACTTACAGATGCTTTACACACAGAGTCTGCATGGAATCTGCTAAAATTGCTCTTATTGTAGACTGGAAGTCCTTTCAAGAAATCCGCCTGGTGGAAAAATATGAGAGCGTTATTTCTATTTGTGCAAAAAGTTCTAGTTTTTTTTCAATAATTTAGTTACAAAACCCAAAACATTACAAATCTCATAACATCTGCTTCCCGTTTCACAGACGTCCCAGACTACAGTCATTGATGTGACGTACTCATAGCTATCAATCAAATTAATCGTTTTATTTAAAAAAAAAATGTAGATGTCAAATGGTTAGCATATGCAATCAGATACGTGCAGATACTTCAAGAATCGGTCAATGCTGGGCGTTAACCTTACGCTCTAAAAAGGTATCCATCTCCCCAAACCTTCCCTGCAACCTCTAAATTGGGTGATTGACACAGTAGAGAAAGAGGTTTCGAATTATCCGGAAGGAGCGGAACATTTCAAAGCAAATATCGATGCCGGCATGGCCTGAATAGAAACTGTGGGTGTAGCAAGCTGCTAGCTAACACTTAAACACGGTTAGCTAGCTAGCAATTACCATATACATTGCTGTTCTTCAAAAACAATAACTGTAAGCACGTTGTAAGAAAAATACCTTCTCCATGGTATTGACAGAAATTTCCAAAGCTGAATCACCGACTTGTGGGCTTGACTTGGCGTCTGTTTGGTTAACAGTGATGGCCGCGCTAGCTTACAGGCTAGTTCACCGACACAGCTAAGCTGACTGGTGCTCTTGGCAAAGAAAACTGCTACCCTCAAACACAAGTTGTTGTTTCCATACTATATCACAGTGCTTACTTAAAACAAACCCCTAATAATAAAAAACAAAGCAAAATGGCATTCCATAAGAAAAGAGAGTTATTCACACATGACTTCTTCGGCTAGCATGATGGTTAGATGGCAACGATGTTTACTTGACCACGCCCTTAAACCAGCAATTGGCTCAGCCCTTCTACCATGTGACGCAGACTGAATCAAAGAACCAATTAATAAACAGAACCGAATGTAGGCCCACCCTGAAAAGTTGACCTCTCCTTTCCACATGATAAGCGTCTATTATGAAAAACAAACCCAACTAATCATGAGATATTCGGTATTTTATGTGCATGAACTTTAGACGTGAAGTGACCTTCATCTAAATACATTGAAAACATTTAAATAATTTAAATATCAGAATTCCACGCATACCTCTGTGGAACAGGTTAGGAAAATAATAATTAACTGGATCTTTTCGGGCTTCTGTTTCATAGAAATTATTTCTGACATAATTGCAATACAATCTGATTGCATGTTTTTAATCTGAAGTAAGAGTTACTTATTTTTCAGAAATATTAGAATATACCAGGAGCATATAATTAATGCTCCTGTTCCTTTTGAAGAGGATTAGACAAATCTAGCTCTTTTTTCTTCACAAAGGTCATCTTAGAATTTTATTTTTTGCTTTGTATTTATGTCAATATTCAACCTTGCAGCTACAACTGTCACATTAGTGATCAATGATAAAGGTTTAATATTTTCAACCTCTCAGAGGAGAGAGTGACTGCCACCTCTCAAATAGTTACATAGCAACAATAGCCATAGCAACCTCTACAGCACCAGGTCATTATCATACTGGAAAATAAAATGCTGACCAGATGTAGGGAATATTCTTCCAAGACAAACTGAGCAAATTGGTGTAGGGAGCTTTGAATATAAATCTTCAAAATAACTGAGCCCACTGGACTTGTCTTTTGCACGTAACCATTTTAAAACCAAAAAACTAAAAATATCACATATGTGAATAGAATCAATCTTACATAACAAAGCAAGTACATTAAAAGAACTGTAGAACTTCAGGTCTTTATGCAATTTCCGTGTTTTATATACACACACTCACATGTAAATCTATCATTCAACCACAGATCAGTTAACAAAGTTTTGCATATCTAAGCAGTTTAAACAAATGTGTGACGAAATTATACAAGATAAATGCATCTCTGGAAATAAAATATGAGGTCCGAGGTGTAAACTTAGTCTAAAAAAACAGGCGTTCACAACATTTGATAAATCTGAGTTTGCTCCCCTATTCCTTCATCCTTTGGAAAATACACATAGTCAACAAAACGCTATTTTCTACATAGCAAAGTGTCTCTTCATTAATCTTGTGCAGGCTCACACTGTACAGCAGCAGGGGGCAGCTTTTCACATCCATTAAAAGAATTACGAGGCTGCAATTCTCCTGTCGCACCAACAACTGATGGGCGGAAAAACCCTGACGCTCAGAGTGCGTCTGCAGAGTTCCAGCATGGGACGAGGAGCTGTGGAGATGCGTCCGGACGTGTGCTTCTACCTGTGACCCCGCGGGGAGACATGCTGTCAGCCGGCCGCCATGTGCTGGCTGCCGCCAGGGCAACTAAATCCAGATGAATTAGATTATTGGATTGACTGCAACAGATTATAGCTCTTCTTCTTCCTCGATGTCTCGTAGGAAAACCGCACCGATCTGATCACAGATTTGACGTTTCGGGAGATATTGCCTTGATAAAGGTGAGTATTCTAGTTCATTATCGTGCACTTATTTGGATTTTTCTAACAGTCTGGTATTAGATGAGATAGTTGAACGATTTCTGGCGGGTCACAATAGTGCAGTCATTGCACACCAAACTGATCAAAGTTATTATTCAGTTATTCAAATATATGTTGTATTGTGTTTTATAAAAAATCTGGCATTATATGTAAATTGTTCTCTAATTTTAGCTCAAATGAAAGAGAATTAGACCCAATCCATCCTGTTTATTGTTATTTGGAAATATATTGAGGCTGCTGTCTGACCAAGTTTTATTGAAGGAAAATAAAATTTCCTCTGATTTTAAAATGGTCTTTTTTCCCCTCTGTTGAACACAGATGTTTTGTGTGGTGTAAACAGGGGCATAAAGACTTTGTACAATGAACAGAATAGACGCAAAAGTCAATTTAGTTTTGCTAGAAATATCAGAAACTATGGTACAAAATATGTTAATACATAAACAAAGTCTCTCATGTAAACAAAAGTCATAATTTCGAAACATGTTCTAAAATAATGCGTAACCATAGCAACTGTGTAATGACAAAAATGAAATGAGCTTTCAGTTCATTTATTGTGCAGCACATGATAATCTTCTGACTGATCATGGCTCATACTGTTTATCTGAAATTATGTCATATAACTGAAAGTGTAAGACGTGCATTCTGGCAAGCCTGACCCCCCATCAACAGTGAACATGCTGTAGTTTCTTTAATCCCTCATTACAGCCTCTGCTCCTTTTCTGGGCACCAGTCCCCACTGTGATTGTGTTATGTAACAGCCTGATGCAGCCAATGACAACAACAGCTGAAAACTAACAGGCAAGTCAGCAGAATTCCGTCAAATGAAGTCACATCTAACAACATGTTGAGGGACTGGACCCTAAAATTATTAAAAAAAATTTCATATGTTGTAGGACAAAGAAAATGTTTTATTTGTTTCTTATACTTTTCTGATGTTTCCTGTTAATTTTACATTTTTATACACGAAGTTGCTTGTCTGGGCTTTGGACTTTGCACTTTTAGACTCATGGATCATCTTATTGACATCCACACTCACACACACACACACACACACAAAAGAAGATGGAAATGATAAATACTTCTCACCGAGGTGTGACTCTATTTCACTTTCTAAAATATTGTTTTGAATGAGCTCATGGGCAGATTTCCATGGTTTCTGGAGATTCAAGTGGCCTGAACAAACTGTGGCCTGACTTGTCATCAGTGGACAGCATCTGTGTCCAGTCAAACTAATGATTCCATTTACTGCAATACAAGATAGCTGAGATTAAGTATTGACTTTCTTTTGAATGGTATTCCCTTGTAACTATTTCCTTTATTTGGTTTATGCCATTTTTTATTCCATAGACAGTTTGATATGTTTATACTGAAGCTTGTTTGATTTTTTTCATCATCTTTTTGATCACCTGCTGTTTTATTAGCTTCTTGCTGCTGCCGTGACAGAAAATTTGACCTGTTGTGGGACAAATAAAGTTCTAAGGATCTGAGATGTGTCATCGCAGGCTTCATTAAGGTGTTGTTTGACAGGTGAGACAGATTTTTTTGGAGTCTTTTGCTTATGAATTGTGCCAGACCCGGGTGTTTTACTACAAACATTTGCCCCAATGGTTCTTTTATTTTTTAATGTTTCGCCAGTATATAAAACAGAAAACAAATACCACTGCTTACACCCTGTGTCTTGTGAAACTGCGCTTTTTAATCTGAGAATCATGTTTGTCACCCTCTCTGATATCAGAATGGCCTGCTCAGCATACTGTTGTGAGCACACACAGTTCTGCCAACACTACTGTGTGGAGAGCGGATGTGCAAGTATAAGCAGAAAGATCATGAAAACAGCCAGCAGAGCTGGAATGCTGCATTGCATTGTGTACATAATCCCCAGATGAAAACAGTAGATGGGTCGCACCGTTTAGTGAAAGATGCAACAACTCTCATGCTGGATAAAACTGTAACAGAGCAGTCTGGGTTCTTTTATCAAGACAGAGGAGAGACAGATTTGTTGCATGGACTTAGAGACAGAGAGTTTAATCCCCTCTAGTTGGGAGGGAGGAAGGTAAGATAAATGCCACTAGCTGACAGACTTGCACTCCATGTCTGGTGTTGTTCTGTTGCTAAGGCTGATAATGATCTAAAACTAGATTTTATTTGACAGCTGTGCTGCACCAACTGCTCTCAATCTGGTGAATTTACCCTCCGAACTGTTATATCTTTTCAAAATAAGAAATTTGAATTTCATGAGTTTTCATGAGTTCATGAATTTACTTTCATGAGAAAGTCAATTTGGTCGTTGTATAAAGTAAGAAAGTAATCATTTATGTTCCATCCATGGTTTCATTACCATTTCTGCCCATTTGTTAGTTGAATTAGTTAAATTTTCTCTTTGACCTTTAATGAGCAATTCAACAATATTCCAATGCTTCATCATCTAAAATGTATATAACTCTAGAAGCATCCGTGAGAAGATATGGTAGAAAGTACATGATTAACTTGTTGGTTGTCCTTGTTGGTTGTTGGTCTTGTCTGGCAGAATTGTAATGTGTGGTGCTGCAGAGCGAGCACATGGAGGACAGCTTTAACCCGGGGAGCTATTACAGTCCAGGGCTATTAATAACCTGAAAGGCCTCGCCAAGGAGCGATGCTTAGAAAATCGCAAGGGTTTGAGTTGTGAATACGAGCCAGACTGTACAGGTCTCAGACTTCTACCTTTTTAAGAAGGCAAGTTTTTCAATATAAATGAATGATAAATTAAAGGCAATACAAAACCACATTCTTACTTTGTGTGAATTTGAACAGGTGGTTCTCTACGGGCAAAACAATTGCACAACACACAAATTTACATAAAACAAACTCTTAATGTAAATACAGCTAATAACTTAATGAGGGTTTTTCTAAAATCAGCACAAGATGAAATTCTCAATCTTTGTGTGGCCATTTTGTACTGATTTTGTGAGTTTTCACTTTCCTGTGTTCCTTTCAGACTGGCAGCCATGCTGACCAGCTTTATTGAAGGTCTCCTCTGCTGCCTCACCTCAAAATCAGCCAACACTGTGGTTCCTGTGGAAACCTCAGAACCCGCCGACGGCTACGAGTTCGTGGAGGTAAAACCAGGCCGGGTCCTGCGGGTTCGACACATCATTCCTGACAGGTCCATGGTGGAGGAGCCTACTCAGGGTGGCAGCGTTAGCTGCAAGAGAAAGATCACTGTGTACCGAAATGGTCAGCTGTTCATTGAGAACTTGGGTGAGAGGGCCAGTCCAGAGCTGAAAACCTGCCCGAATGGAGAGACGCAACCAAACAGCACAGTGGAGGTGGAACTGACGGACTGTCGTAACTCCTCGACGCCTGTGAACATTCCCGAGCCCCGCGCCGACTCCGTCTCCGCTGGAAACAACGGAGCATCTGAGACGGGGGCGGCAGGAGAGGCCCCCGCTGCCGGACAAACTGACCAGCAGCCCAGGAAGCGGAGGCGGAAACCCAAACGCACTGTGGTCATTGACTGTGAGAGGAAGATATCAGCCTGTAAGGGGACACATTCAGACCTGGCTTTGTTCTTCATCCATGGGGTGGGAGGCTCGCTAGATATCTGGGGAAGCCAGCTGGACTTCTTTTCCCATCTTGGCTATGAGGTGATTGCCCCGGACCTGGCAGGCCATGGAGCCAGTTCAGCTCCACAGATAGCAGCAGCATACACTTTCTACGCCCTGGCAGAAGACATGAGACTGATCTTCAAGAGATATGCGCGGAAGAGGAATATTCTTATTGGACATTCTTATGGGTAAATTTCACAGCAATTACACAGTATGCAGCAAAAAAGACATAGAGAGAAGTCCTCCTTGGACATTTGAAATATCTAAGTTACACAAAGTAGTTTTTAGTGGTAAATGCTTCCCTCTTGTGCACCAAACCTGAAAGTGCAATATGAGCCTTATATATTTCCACATCAAGACAATTTTTGAAAGATGAAAACCACAACATGAGTGTTGCATCTTGTAATTTTGCTCTTATGTTGTACTTGCTCAGTGTGTCGTTCTGTACGTTCCTGGCCCATGAGTTCCCTGACCAGATTCAAAAGATGGTGATGATCAACGGTGGCGGTCCCACAGCCCTTGAGCCCAGCCTGTGCTCCATCTTCAACCTTCCCACCTGTGTTCTTCACTGCCTCTCCCCACTGCTGGCCTGGAGCTTTCTCAAGTAAGATAAGTGATCACAGCAACTCTGAAGTCAAAGCGTGTTACCTGGAAGCCATTTCAAAGGGGAATAAATTACCTTCACGCTAACCTGGTTACCACTTATATATAATACTGTAACATCAATTGGGACTTGGATAAATCTCTGCTCTGCCTCTGCAGGGCTGGCTTTGCTCGGCAGGGAGCCAAGGAGAAGCAGTTGCTGAAAGAGAACAATGCCTTCAATGTGTCGTCATTCGTGTTGCGTGCCATGATGAGCGGGCAGTACTGGCCTGAGGGGGACGAGGTTTACCACGCTGAGCTCACCGTGCCTGTCCTGCTGGTTCACGGGATGCACGACAAGTTTGTCCCTGTTGAAGAAGACCAGCGGATGGCAGAGGTAGGGAGGCTCTTTTTAAAATCACATGTAACTAAGCCACCTATTATTATTATCTGAACAACTAAATAAACCACCTCCAGCATCTATTTTGTGACTATAACGTAAGGCTGGGTACATGGTTCCCATGTATCACTCAAACCGTTTGGGGTCCGCCTCCCAGTCTTGGTTTTAGGGAGTTACTTGAACTGAGGGATGTTAAAAATGTCTGTGACTGGATCTATGAAAACCAAAAAAAGCCTTTAGAAAATGGAAGTTCAAGTGAGTTACATTCCCCACTGTTTAGACTCACTGCCTCTGACTTTAAGTCCCATAATATTATATATTTCTGTTTTATATTGACTCGTTTCAACATTGCCTCATCCTTCTTTAATAGTAATAATTATGACTGTTTTGGGATTGTTATTCATAAATAAGATGGCACATGAACTGTCTGTTAACATCATAAAATTGGGCCACGAAATTAAAACTGGTTATAGTTTATTGATGACTTAAACTTTACTAAAAATTTGATTTAATTTTCAAAATGATTACTTCCTTTTTGTCAGATCCTCCTAATGGCGTTCCTCAAGGTCCTGGAAGACGGTAGTCACATGATCATGATGGAGTGCCCCGAGGCAGTCAACACACTCTTGCATGAATTCTTCCTCTGGGAACCTATCACCATTCCACCACCAAAGAAAGAGCCCAAAAACCGTCCAGAAACTGCCAAAGCTCACAGTGACAGCGCTAAGGCTATATCTGAGCCCGCCAAGGTCCGGCCTGCAACGGCCAGGCAAATCTGATCAAACAGTAAAGCAGCCAGATAGACAAAAACTAAAGATTAAAGCTGATTCAAGCTAAAGCTGAAACAGCCCTGGCAGTGCAGTCACAGGAAATCATAGTTGGAAATGCTCCTCCTGAGAATGTTAGCCCTTTCGAGCTGCTGAATCCGGTGATGAGCCAATTTCATCTGAACCGGTCTGGTGGATGTTGGATTTATGGAGTTGGGCAACTTTAGAGTTCATGTATGTTAACACATACTTTATGTGAAGCAAGAGGAACTGTTTTAATGAAACAGAGCTGTCTGCCCTAACATACAGCAGGGTGTGAAATGGTTGTGCCTTTTAGTGGTATTGAAGAAACAGGAAACAGTAACATGTAGCCACAGAGGCAATGGCAAAAATCAACAGAAGCCAAAGTGGTCCGCTGGTGGGATTTCATCCTAGAGGGTGAAAAAGCAAATCAAAACAATATGCTGGTATGAATCAATGTCCTGATTGACTTAACAGGGATTTGGCTGGAGAGTAATTTAATACTTAATGAACTTTTCTGTATGAAACTGTATGGAAATGTGTCCAAGGTCTGATTTCCTGTTGCTCATACCATAGTGAAAACCTCTCTGTTAGCTCAGATATCACCACAAAAGCACTAAACACAACAGGTTACACTTTTGAGTTCTTTTTTCAAAATGAAAATGGGAACCTTTTTCGAGAACAGTAAGTTACCGTAAGTGAGTAGCATCATATTTTGCACCGTCCACTTGCAGTTTTAAGGTTCTAACTGTTGTTTTTCACAGGAACTCTGACTCTAAATGCAAAAAAGTGTAAACTAGTGGTAATGTATTGACTGTGTATTGATTTATAAAACATAAAAAATTGAAAACAATGCGTACTGCAAATCGAGAAAGGAGTGAAAGGAATTCTGCTGCTTCCTCAAGTGTTCTGTCGAGTGTGCGCTGCTAATTTTAGCTTAAGTTAGAGCTAATCTTTACCGAACAGCACAAAGCATGTACACACACTGAAGCACTTAAACTACAGACGGCTTGTTTCCTGATTGTGAAACACCAGGGCGATACAAAAGTTGTAAAACAATAATACATTTTAAACTGCTCCAAGCTGCTACAACAGTACAACAGAGTTATTTAAAATAATTTAGCATCAGGGACATCTGATGCTGTTGTAATATTTTAGAAACTTTTAGCCAAGTTATTGCTTGTTATTTTTTAGTTTTGAGAATTTCTTTTTTGTTTGCATAGATACAATATTTTTTCTGCGGGGTTGAAACAAAGACTGAAATACACATTTAGGTCTTTACTTTGGTGCATTTTAAAAATAACACACACGTAAAATTTCAGAAAACTATTAATAATTGTGATGGCCTTAAAATAAGTAATAGACTGGGGATATGGTTTAACCAGTTAAATAAAAAATAAAAAATGTAATTGAAACTTTGAATTTTCCTATCTTTGGCACGTTTCCACTGACTTTTGTATCAGTATTTAAGCCAAAAATGTCAGAAATTGAAGTTTTTGGAGCACTTTTGTGTACCTAATCATAGTGCATGACTTTGATTACATATTTTTATATAAAATCTAGAAAATCTTGCAAACCATTTTCATTATGTTTTGACCCAACTTAGGTAATATATAGAAATAATTAATTCCTTTCCTCTTTAAAAAAAATCATTTTACATGTGTATTCCCTTTAGCACATCACAAAAAACATGACTGATTTTCACAGCTTTTATTTTCCAAATTTTGAATCCTTTCCTTCACCGTTCAACGGTTAGATGCAAACATCTGTACTTCAACTCCACAGTGCAGATAATAAGATTTAGGTGGATATTGAATACTTTGTGGTTGCTTTTGATTGCTGAAATAGTTTTGTGTTTTTACATTTAGTCTGTTTTGTCTTTTGCCGCCAGATGTTTAGAATTTAAAAATGTTCTTAGATTCTCTGACAAAAACAACTTCAATATTTTCAGGTTAATATGTGGATTATCACATGCTTTACTCAGTATTTATTGTTTTTATACATAGGATACACTTTTTATACTTTTGTTTTTGATGGTTTCCTAGTCTTTTAAAACAAATGTAGCAATGACTGTTTTTAAAAAATTGAATATGCAGCTTTTTTTTCCAGAAAAATGCAGCTGACTGTTTGCTTATGACTGTCCTGAACAGAAGAAAACTGTCCCCTTTGTATCATGTGTCTTATATTTTCATTTTTTGCCTTTGTCAGTGAAAAACTGCTCAATTTTAAGTATTGATTTATCAAAGTAAAGAATTACAGGTTGTGAATTTACATCTAATTTTCCTCCTTTTTCTACATCGTAAGTAGTTGTATGTCTTGTTATGCATTTGTTCCAGCAGCACAAACAATATGTTGAAATGTGTCTTAATTTATCAATGTTATACATTTAGATTTTTAAGAATATTCTCAACTAATAGCACTGTTCTTTAATTCAACGATCATGCAGCTTTCAAAAGATACAGATGAAATATTTTTTCCAATTTGTGAGGGGAATGTATGACATTTTATTGAACAGTCATCCTCCAACATCTTCCTCTCACAACATTTGAGAAGATCCAATTGACTGAAATCATTTATGTATCAAAATGACCATAGGAATTTTTTTTTTAGAATACCTGTAAACCAGTCTGAAAATAATGATGAAAATAATCAAGTGCTCAGCAAAAGCTATTTTGCATCTTTTTAATGAGAAAGCAGAACAGCACATGATACATTTGAACTTAAAGGTGACCTATTAAGATATATATAAATGTTGACTGTTGCCTTTGTGTACAGTGGATAGCACGTAAACCATATATAAACTAAGTAAAACTATCTAAATCTAACTTTAAGATGTGTCTCACTGTACAAGTTCAAGGCAACTAGTTTGAAAACAGTTGTTCTTATAGACTTTGCAGACTGGAAATATAATTTTGCAAGCCTGCACGTCTGAATCAGAAATGTTCATAACTTAAAGCATTTTCAATCGTAATTTTGAAATACCTTTTTTTCAGCTAATTTATGACCAACCCATATTTTGCAATAGCTTTATAATGTTTATACATTCATTATTTGTAAAAGAAGCATTTAAACAAAGCATTTACTCTAATAACCTCTCAGGGAAAAACGTGCCCCCCATTTCAGACCTCCGCCGTGACAGTGGGGCCGTTGCTGCTGTCCTGCAGTGGGGTTGTCTCTTTGGGGGGGCTGGACTCCACAACATTCTCCTTTTCCTTGTCCTCAGAAGCCTTCAGGGGAGTGCTCTCTGTCGTGTCCTGCCGGTCACTGCTGGTAGTGCTGGCTGGCTGCTCAGCCTTTTCCTCAACGTGCTGCTCTTTGGTCTCATTGACTATCTGAACGCTGTCGGCTGCAGCCGCCTTTACCTGCTTTGCGTCCCCATTCTGGACGGGGAAAACTCCCTCCAGAGCACTGTATAAGAATTGGTATTGCTCCTGATAAAGAAATAGAAAGAACTGTGATGAAACGGAGGACATCCTGATGCCACCTGAGCTTTGAACACAAAAGCTTTTTGTCATAGGCACTCTGGTTCACATTGATATAGATATCAACACACCTTTGGTTGAATACATCTTGTTATTAATGCATGTAGGGTCAATCCAACATACGGTGGACAATAATCTACTTATTGTTGTGCTACAACTATTCAAAATACCCCAATCAGTCCTTAAATTATCTTATAACAGTTGGGTTAAACAAAGTTGTATTCGACATGAACTAAAAGAAAGAACACCAAATAAATACATAAGGCAAGAATTAAAAGGAGCATCTTTTCATGAGTCATTTAACACTATTAAAGTTAAAAGCAGTCAAGTGTGTCGGTGGAATGTGTTGGTTTCTCTCTCTTACCAGGCTGGAGATCATGCCTTGTCGCTCCTTGCGTAGAGTTTTGACCACTTGGAAGACATCCACCAGTTTTTCAGACTCAGCGCTGTCCAACAGGTTCCACAGAGCGCAGAATATGCCTGAACGGGACGAGCCGTCACTGCGAAGATGGAGCACACATCAACAGAAATTCTGGAGAAGGTCACATTAGTTTTCATGGTAAAGATCGTTACTTTTAACACAAATGAAATCTAATACATGTTTTCCATTAAATTATGTGATTCAACAAACAACTAACATCTACTCTGGTTAAAGTTAGTGGTCAATACATATTAATTTACCGTTCAGTTTAATTCAGAAATATTAAATAAAGACCCTAAATTGAATGATATTGCTGTAGTATTAATTAGTATCAGAAAGCTATAGATAATGATGCTACCCATTATAAAGAATAATTTTTAAAATTGAGCTAAAAAAATCAGATCCAACTCTCTGCCTTCATTGTAAATTGCTGACGATCCTCATCTTTATCAATATGCTTAAGAAAATGTAATTCTGACTGTGATAGAAAGATTTTAATTGGATTATGTGCTCACTGGTCAATTTTCCGCTGTTATTCTTAAGTTTCTAAGCAATAATTTCTTTAGCTTGGAGACTGGAGGCTGGATCAGGTTGTTCAGTTGTTCAGCAAATGGCCTGAGCTTTGAAAAGTGTCTTATTACAGGTCACAACTTCAGATTTATAAAACATTTGAGTTTAAATAATATCAGATTATGATCAAATGCATGCTGCTGTGTAACTGGTGTAACTACAAAACAGTCTAAGAGCTTTATCAGGGAAACACAAGATGGTTTTCCCCTAAAAATAGAGTGCTAAAACTGAACCCTGAGCAGCAAACCATCTTCACAAAGAATACTTTTGTTTCTTGTTTCCTAAATGCATACTGCTCCTTTTAAATCCGAGTGGAGGATATTTTCTCTGATGCTGTCTTACTTGCAGTGGACCACAATGGGAATGCCCCGCTGGGATTTGCTGGTTTCACATTTGTTCTTAATGTCTTTGATCATATCTGTGAGGTCTTGAGGTTTTTCTGGCAGCTCTCTGTTGTCCCACTTCAAGAATTGGAAATGCTTCACTGGTCGACTCTCTCTCCTCTGTGAACAGACGACACCTTAGACCAATGAAATTGCTGGTGTATGTGACAGACAAACCGGGCAATTGTTACGTTACCTTGATGTGACGTATCATCATGGTGCGGGTAATCAAATTTGTAGAAGTTTCTGTGTTTGTAACCTCAACTTCAATCTCCCCAAATACTTTCTTATTTTGATCCCAGTATGCAGAATCATTATCCTGTCAGCAAGAAGACGCACGAAAGCAAGAATACATTTTATGTATATATATGTATGTATATATACATATATCTACATATATATATTTGTAATGTATGTGTATCAAGAATGAGTATTTATTCATTAACTGCTGAGTTGTTCTTACCTTATCTCCCTCATTGCTGGCTGAAAGCATGACAACAGTACATGCTTTCTTCTGGTGGATCATTGACCAGAAGTCACCCAGAGTGTCTGGAACTGGGGTTTGCGCTACAATGAAGCTACGAGGACCCCAGTAACCCTATATGGAAAAGAAAAAACATCATGTTTTTCTAATATGCAGTCCAAACTATCAGGATGTGATATGTTTAATTGCCGAAAGGTTTTCATATAACACCTTTTCCAACGAATTCAGCATGAATTCATTAAAAGGTGACTCATTTTCGGGCTAAAAGATAAGTTACATACATCAATGTGGGAGGCATTGATGTATTGAGTGGAGTCTTCTTCCTCTTCATCTGATGACTCTTCCTCTTCCTCTTCATCAGGATCTTGGCTATCTTGGCTGAGTCCTTCATCAACCTTCAGCAACACTCGGTTGTAGTCATCTGAGGGCGAGGACGTTTGTTTAATTCACCAGTAAAATACAACAGATACATAATCTTGTGGATATTTAGACATAGTTCAGTCACTAACAGGGGAGATGCAGCTTCTACTTACATGGGTAGACAGATGATGAACGATTCTTCTTCTTGTTTTCCTCTGACATCCCTGTGTTGAATGTTCTCCAGTTTTTAAAGGAGGGGAGTCTCTGAATTCAAATACAATGATTTTTCATGACTTAGGGATTCATAGTTATAAAGTTTATTCTGACATGAAGTAGTATGTAGAAAATGGATATGATGATCTTTCTTAAAAATGACTTTGAAAGTTGTTAAATTATATAAACTTTTGCATGATACTGAGGTTCTCAACACTGTTACAAATAACACAATACAAAATAAGATGTAAGTTCATTGTACTGGACCATCATGGAAAACAAAATCCAGTGGCATAGTCATCTCTGTGCGTGACTTTTCGGATTAACCAATGTGTTAGAAAAGCTTTGTAATACACAATCATACCTCAAACTCCTCTTCCATTAGTGAGGGCTCCGTGTCTGTGGTTTTGTGTTTGAGTGTGTTCACTGTGCTGTGCAGCTCTGGCAGACTGATCTCTGTTTCTCCAAACTGGTTGTGCTCCAGCAGGGCTTGGTGAATGAGGATGTACTGGGCCTATATGATGATGCAAGTATTGGTCATAAAACATGAAGAACACACATACTGTACAGAGGACCAGATGAGTGTTCCAACATATACAAAACTATGAATAATTGTAATTCGTATAACAATTCATAGCATTATATTATGTTGAAAACATCAGAAACATTTAATCTGAATGGAAATGCTTTTGTTGATTTAATCTATATTCAATCTGTTTGTGCCTGTGGCCTTGCGCAGTACCGCACTTCAGTTTGGTTTTCTGTTCACACTGAGCTACTTCCTGTTTGCATGCTCTATGCAGTGTGTCAACACACTAAAGATTTCTTAGTATTACACATGGTTTCCTTGAATCCTTTTTGATTCTGATTAGCACACATAGACACACAAATTTTACCTCAACTTGAACCATGAGACATCTCTGTCTGCGGAGTCTGACAACGTAGCCGTAGATGTCCACTCTGCCCTCCGCCTCCAGACCCTCCATCATGGCATCAATGCCGATGTAAGTACCTGTTCTTCCAACTCCGGCACTGCAAAAGACAGAGAGAAGCATCATATTTAAGTGTTACTGGGATTTATGTGTGGGGGCTCAAAGATGCATGAGCAATTCCCAGTATTCGTTGCTGAAATTCACCAGGAGTAGGACTGAAACGTTTTTTTATTATACTGAAAGACAATGATATGCCATTAAAGGAAGGCCTCCAGGTAGATTTTGTGTTTATTCAAAAAACAGATCATTATACAATTATACTCTCAAAGAAGTTGATTGAAGAGCCTTTAATGAGCTGATTTACGTGCCTGCAGTGAACGACAATGGGACCACTGAACAGGTTCTTGAAAGCATTGACACGTCTCCTGAGCTTCAGCAGGAGGTGAGGCTCTCCTGGGACGCCGTGGTCTGGCCAGCTCATGAACTGAATGTGAGTCACTTCTCTCTCTGCGTTTTTCTCCCTCTTCTGCAAGGATTCATACAAACCAGCACATATACTAATGAAACAGCTTCACACTTTAGGTTAAGATTTTGGTCGCTTACATAACTTATCGGTTTTCAGTATCTTATCTGTTGACGCTTGCTTGCATACTCACATTACTGAGGCTGATGTGACGTATGGTGTAATCTGGAAAGTGTTTCTCTGAGGTCAGCTTCACAATGAACTCCTCAAAGATCTCAGTCTCGCGGTCTTGGGATGGCCAGTACTGTGCACACTTGACCTGCAAAACAACACGTTCAACAACAAAATCAGAGGTTGAGAACAGCTGAGATGAGTTTTAAACTGAGGGGAAGATGTTAGTTTCATGATTATTAGCTAAATTAACTGTTTAAATAACATTTTAATGACTACTTTATATTAACAATTTGATCATTAGTAGCATAAACTATGTCAATAAGTGATTACCCTGTTTCCTTCCTCACAACGCGTCACCATGACAATAACAGAGGACTGCTGCTCCCAGACCATCCTCCAGAAGTCAGTCACTGTTTCTTCCTTAGGCCCTACGACACACATAGCATGTACATTTTGTAGTGTAGCACGTACAGTTACACATAGTCTGAAAAGAGTCTGACAACTTGACTTTACCCTGAGCTGCAATGTATTTTTTCTGTTCTTTGTAACCCTGAAAGATGAACACAGGTGACACATAGTTAAAAAAAAAAAGCCTTATTAATAAGACATGAATAGGTCCTGAATGAAAGTGGGTAAAAAATCATTCTTATAAATGCAACGACCGCAGTAAAAACTGTGGTGTCATTTTCATTTTTTTTTTTTTACATACATCGATGAAACTGGCATTGATGTAGTCACATCCAGCCTCTCCATTTCCTGTGTTCAGCTGGACACGGTTGTGATCATCTAGATAAATGGCAACAAAAGGAATACATTAGAGCCCCGTAATACACGGATATGTGTTAGTGATTAGATTCATTGCCTCAGACTATCCACTGAGCATTAGTACAAATTGACGATGAGATTCACAGTTTGTGTGTCAATGTCAACATTAACATGTGTGTGCTCAGGGTTTTCATTCTTCACACTCACACGGCAGGATGTCCACGTAGCGGTTCTTGGGGCCGTTGTAGTTCTTTTTGGCCTCTTTTACCGTGTATCTTGAGAAAATTCTGGGGATGCTCTGAAAGCAAATAATGAAGGAGTTCATTTCAGGAGCAACTTTCTTCGATCTGTATATCTGTATAAGATATAAAACTGGAATACATTCAACTAAAGGAATTCAATAAAGAATTGATGCGACCAAAAGAAACAATAGACCCCCACAAAATGTTAATGTTGTTACCTGAAACTCAGCCAGGAAAAGTCTCCCCTCATCAGCGAGTTTCCTCTTGTAGGTTTCCAGCAGCACTTCTGATCCGATTGGGTCAACAAGCATCAGGTTTTCTTCATCATCTAAAATAAAAGACTCTTCAAACATCAATAGAAAACTCTGCTTCTTATTTCAAGCTTGTGAAGTCATCCAACAGAATGCTTTCTTAGTTATTAATTAACTTTCTGAAAAAGCACGTTTGCACTGAAAGACTGTCTGTTGGCCAGAGGCATACATTTGTTCTCTGCATCAGCAGTAATATGTTGATTTATATTAATATTTAGTTGTAATGAAAGAAAAGACAACTAGGATCACCAAACAGTCATGTCAATTTAATGGGATTATATAAGATGTACTTTGAGTGACATTAGGCATTTTTTCCTTTCACATTTCTGACGTTTCCCTTTGGATTTAAAACTTATAAGATAATAAACTTATAGGAAAAGCAAATAAGGAGACATAATAATGATAAAAACTCAAACTTATCTACAAAGATGAGGAAAGGTAAAAGTAGAAATCTACTCACTTCCCCTGGGGATGAGCTCTGCGCCTTCATTCAAGTTACTGCAAGAATAAGGAAAAAGAGGGCAGGTAAAAGAATGAATGAAGAATGAATATAATTTTAACTGGAATGCATAGTATAAGACCATTGTGCAGGTTAGTAGATGTTGTACCAAGACTTTCTGCGTTTCAAAATGTAGATCTTGTAGACGACCACAAGAAGAGCCACAGATGTGAGGATGATGAGGAAGACAAGAAACCCCATGAGAGCTTTGTCATTATCTGAAAAATGTAGGAAAAAGCATATACTTTTTTAAAGATAATTAAATGACAATAAAGCTGAAGAGGCAGAGGAAAATAAATATTTTGGCTGCACTGAAGAATCAAATAAACAGGCACGTACAGGAAGTTTGAACTGCTACTGTTGAGGGTTTGCTCTTTAAATCACCGTTGTCAGCAACCACCTATGAAGACAGAGGTTAAAACATAATGAAAACTCAAGAATTGAATTATATTGTTCGTGTCAAACTGCAAAGTAGAATAATACAAACCTCCACTGTGTAGGTTGTCAGGTAACTCAGATCTTTGAATTCAAAACTACATTCTCTTTTAGTTTGTTGGCTGCCATCAACATTATGAAGACGGGCTGTGACCTTCCTCTCAGGTCCTCTGAAACCATTGGCGCTATAAGCACAGGTTACTTTTATCACATTGTTATCTGGTTGAGTCACGGTCAAATCACCGATATCCTTTGGTGCTGCAAGAAAATGAAAATAAAGGAATTCATGACACCCAAATATATAGTTTCAGTTCAATTTATCTTGATTGAGATTTGTTTATCTGAAATGCCATCAAAAGAAAAAGAAAAGTAAAAAATTATTTTCCATTTGAACTCAATATAGCACAAATGTGATTTATTTGAATGATTACACAGTGGAAGCTGTTGGTGTAAAAGGTTCTGGACAAGAACTTTCCTACAAAGATTATTTTAATGATCACTTACTTCCAGACAAAGTCTTCCATTCAGATCCCTCAGAAATGTGAACTATTTTGTTTTTGTAGTTGTGACCGACATCACACCTATATTCCGTGAATGGTGTCAGTCCAGTGACTTTACATGTTCCTCCAGGTGGAGTTGGGTCATCTTTAAATGGAGCATAAGTTTTCATCAGCTGCTTCATCACTTATTTAACAACAGGTCAAGATAAAAAGACAGAAACTGACTCATTCTCAGCTTCAAGTCACAGAAACAAACAGAATTCCACATTATGAACCATCAAACCACTCCTGAGTCCCTGCTGCTGCAGAGAACTGAGTCTGGTCCTCATGCTCCAAACTTCAGGGTGTGCTGTCCAACACATGACCAGCAGAAACTGCCCACATCTCTGGGCTGTCCTGGCCTCATGGTCCAGATTTCACACTTCTTCAAACTACATTGTCCTCTTATAAAAATGATTAAAGATCATGTTAATAATTTGACTTACTTTCACATTTGCAACCTCGTAAAAATTGATAGGAAAGATTCCTCAGATTTGAGACGTCTGGACAGTTTTTACTGGTTGTTTCCAGAACCAGCTCAGTGGAAATGTTGGTAAGAGCTTCGGTTTGGTAGGTTGTTGTGAGATCTGTTGAAAACAGCAGATTCATCTGTTTCATGAACTCATGTGACTCCAAAGTAAGTGAGGTTTAGCCATTTTCTCCAGTGAGGTAAAATAAGCATTAACGTACCACAGTCGATCTTGAAGCTGAGAGGAAGAGTTGTTTTATTGATGGAGACACCGTTGTCTTTGATCAGACCTGTACACGTGTAATCTGTGAAAGGCTCCAGCTCAGTTATATTTATGGAGTGGTTGACTTGTCCCAATTCTGAGGACACAAAGAGAAAACATCATTTCTTCTCCAACACTTTTTTTGTCTCAGTTATTTATAAACTGGAGACTCATTCAGAGATTTTTTTTTTAAATGTCAACGGTTAACAGTGAAAATAAGCACTTTTTTTACATCAATGTATCAATCAGATGTTTTATAGTTTATCATTATTTCATTTAAAATGTTCTACCACAGATCTTAACCATGTAGATCTTCTCATACTATCACTGATGATGGAGGTCTTTACTTGTGGTCATCTCACCTGAACAGCTATAATCCACAGTGAGATTTTTACAGTTTGGAGGTAACTTTGGATTTATCTGTGCAGGAAGTCCAGTGGGCTTAGTCTGATTAATGCCATCTGGATTTAGAAAATCTATGAAAAAGGAAATACAGCAAACCTTAAATTCGGATCCAATCAGTTTCAAAGAAGACCGAGTTGAGAGGAAAGTTGGAGCTCTCTGTACGTACCGATGGTGATTTGTTTAGTCACGGTAAAGGAGGAGTTCACACAGTTTTCAGTAGTGACATTTAGAGTAAACTCTGAGCAGAAGTCTTTATCGGAGAGTTTGAAGCAAACTGTTTGATGGTCATGTCGAACAAATGGTTTTGACAATGAAGAGCTGATGTCCCAGTCACTTTCATAACAAACATGTCCGGTGTAGTTGAAGGCATCTTTAATGTCACCTTCAGTTGAAATAAACACGTTAAAATGTTTCTGTTCTGCATTAAAAGTGTCATTTAATGAAATCAAAGAAAATGAGACACACAACAGAACAGTATTTTTACTCACCCCTAACAGGTTTTCCAGTTGCAGTTTTACTTTTAGGGCTCTTACAGAGTGTGTTCCCATCACTGTGAACAAGTTCCACTCTGTGCTCATATTCAGTACAGGGCTTCAGATGTTTGATTTGTTCTGACCATGCTGAGGTTTTGTTGAAGATCTTGAATTCCTTTTCAGGAACTTTTAGGCCTTTTTCATAAATGGAAATGATGTAGTCACCAGTGGGAGCACTGGTCATGTTGATCTGGAAACCACCCTGGATGGTTGTAACCTCGAAGGAACCTGCAGAGGAAACCAACACAATTTATACGTTTGAGTCTAAATAAACCTCCATGATGAACATTTTCATCTCTTATTGTTCACACACTCACTACAAAATCCCCTTAATTAGAAAAGAGAAATAAGCATCATCCTTTAAACGGATACTCACATTCTTTGACTGATTCAGTAGTCGGCGGAGTTGCTGAAGGACATAATTAAATGTTAAAATATGATCCGGAAACATTAAACATTTTTTTTCAAACCCCCTCACATATGATGTGCTTTTACCTCAGTACCCAATGTCTATACTCATGTTACGAAGACAGCACTGTCTCATAAAAATAAAGGATTAAAATTCCAACCTGCGGAGGGCGCTGTTTCTGTGGTGTTGGCATCGGTGACTGCAGGTAAGGTCAGAGAGGTCTGTGTCTGGGGGTCGGATGTGTTGCTGGGTGAAGTGGGTGTTGGTGAGATCTTGCTTGTGTTTGCAGGAGTATTGTCTGCAGGTTTGAGAGCATGCTGGAGGTCACCTTTAGGCTGAAACACTCCTATGAACACTCACTTGATCTGAAGGCTGACCAACATTTCAGGATTTTGTCACGCTAACTGTAGCACACATTTGTTCTTCTCTAAAACCGAGGCTGAATACTTTACCAGAGCCGGTGTTTGAAAGGGTTGTGTTAAATGAGGAGTGGGGTGAAGCTGAGGGGTCAGCTGTGGAGACAGAGGCTTGGACAGCAGTGACTGCTGTAATGCGTGGAGGTGAGACAGAAGGAATGGATGCGGATGAAAAAAGGGATTTTGTGGGGATGCGTGGAGGTAAGGGTGCTGAAAAAAAGCAGCAAAACATCTCAAGTTGCTGGTTCAGGTAAGAGGGAAAAATCACGTCTCATACATTTTCTCCAACAAGTAAAGCAAAATAAAGTGGTTTATTTTTCCCTTGCAAAATCGTTTTCAATGCTCATTTTCTTGGCTACATTTCCGGTCATTTCGTTACTAAATTAATGATGACATGAGCTAAAATATTGTGCTTGTTGGATAAGACAAAGGAATTGATCAGTCAGACAGATTTAGTGAAGAGAGAGTTAATAACAGAAGAATCAGAATAAGTGTTGTTAGTATTGGTGAAATAATGGAAAATTGACTTTTAATATTAATTGGTAAATGTTTACAAAGCTGAAATATAACCTGCACATGAAGTAACTATCGGCTAAACAAAAAATTACAGAAATACCTGTTTTTCAATATACTTGAATAAATATATAATACTAGAAAAAAACTTACCTCAAACTCAAGTTTAAAAACCAAGACAAAAAATTATATTAGGCAAAAAGATATATATTCATAGATAAATATTAATAGAAATAAAAAAATATGTTAGTTATTATTGAAACTGAATATACCAAAACAAGTTTTCAAACAATGTTACATTTAATCTGGTTGCTAATATAAAAATCTTTTTTCTTTAGAAATCTTTACGTTACATACATCAAAAACAAAGTTGAAACATTAGAACATCACTGTAACCATTCTATCTACTAATATTTATTTATTCAGGTGACATTTTTCTGAAATTTGGAGAAGCCTCTGCTGCTCTTGGCACAAATTAAATAATGATAATTATGTATTTTATTGGATGGAATTATGAAAATTACTTACTTGAATCATCTTGACCTGCAAATACAAAAAGAGGAAGAAATCATTTAGATAATTTCATGCATCTCAAGTGAAGAAAAAAACAATATATAAGGATTGAATGTTTTAGAAAATGTATTGTCTCGCCATCTCCTGGACACAGGGTCACAACAAGTTAAAAAAGGAAAATAGTTTAGTTGTGTGGATGAGCTGTACAACCTGGTTGCCATGACAATGTGACAAAGAACCACACTTGTTATTTTAGTAAGCAAGCCACCATTTCCTGCCTTGCACTAAAAGATGGAGTCACCCTACTCTTACAGAACTGGCATTAGCTCACCATTACACTGGTTCATACTCAAGAATTGGAACAAACCAAAATCACAAGTTTCGATGAACAGTTTTAAATTACATTCAGGCTCTATGTGTTATTAAGGTAGTTTCAACTGTGTGAGAAGATTAGCTCTTGTATACAATAGATTCACCAAGTCACTAAAATATGGAATGATAAAAATGTAATCCCCACCCAAAATTATTTAGTTCTCCATTTGATCTTAATTGAGTTTAAAAAATTAACAGCATTGTGATCAGGGACAGCCAGACAGTGAGTGTCAGGATGTGGTTTGGCGGGTTTTTTTTTTTTTTTTTGCATTCTTTCTGCAGTGGCATTTTACACCCTTGTTCAAACTCCCACTGTCACTTAGCAGTTTCACAGGGACTCCTGCAAACTGGCGCAGATACTGACGAATGTGTTTGAATGCTGCTGTGAGAGCTTGGTAACTCTTAACAATATGAGACACCAAATTTCAATAAGCTATAAGACTGTGTGAGAATCAGAGAAACAAATGAGGAACTAATCTCACAATGAATTAACTCTTTACAGAACTGTATTAATTATCTCAAGATTAAATAACCAGATAAAATGATCCCCTGGTCAGGACTTCAGTATCGGTTCATTCGTATTGAATTGTTTTGCTTAATGGAGGAACAATATTATTAAGGGCAATGATTTCCAAACAATACAATACATCCTCTTACAAATAATGATCAGGTAATCATCACACATTGATCATATTAACAACTTTGAGTGCTCAACTCTGTAGCAGCCAGTACTTCTCACAGGCCTACATATTTATCAGCCGAAATATACTTTAACTTTCCCTATTTTTTTTTCGGTGTAAAGTTTAGGCCCCATTTCTAGCATAATACACATACTTCTGTTTGGATCCTCAATATGTTACATGTCACGAGAAACGCCTTTATAACAGGCACTCATCAATAAATGATATAGTGTGCAGCACAACGGTGATCCGTGATCCACATGATATGATCAAAATGCGCTACTTAATTTAAAAGAAGTGAGTAATAATTGGTGCTGAATTATCCATTAACTGGTGAAGAGTTAATCCGTAACTAAATATGGGGAAAGTGGTTAGTGTGCTTAATTAACTGATCAATGTCTTTTCAGGTCTATTAGTCTTTTCTTAGGTAAATCATGACTGTTTAATACAAACATTGAGGCTTCTTTGGGTAATTTTCATGATGGATCAATCAATTAATAACACAATGATTTCTTATAGGATTCCTAATTTGAATTCTGAGTTATGTGATCGAACTTAAACAAAATTAAATTAAATTAACCTCAAATTTCTTGTTAATTACTGGTTATTTAGCATTTAGAACTTAGTATTTTCAGTGTAAAGGTTGGTGGGTCACAGTTCCACTTTGAGCCACTGTAAGTACAATAAAAAAAAAAGAATGAAGACCCAGAACGAACAAAAAAAAGGATGATGATTTTTTTCAAGGAAGTAGTTTTTTGGTGCTTTCTTGTTCTCTGTTTTCACGTCCAAGTGTGAAATATGGGAGCAAGAGAAGCAGAAGTTGACTGCTGTAAACTAGTAAAGAAAGGGGCAAATATAGAGAAGAAACACGACAGAAAGTTACAGGTTGATGATCGCCATTGAACGAAAGCTAAATGCACTGAGCACATGTAGTTGCTTGACGTTTTATGGAAATATTAATGAATTATATGGATCTGTCTCTTACAATTTTGTTCTCTCAGTATATGTGTTGTCCTTTTATGGACTTTTAAAAACCTCTTTGTATTTTCAGTCCAGCGCTGAGCATTCTCAGCTTTTTTCACAAGCCCCCCAACCCCCACCCTCGCTTCTTTAATCGAGCTTAACATTTCTGACCTCACTTCTTCATTTCAGACACTTCCCCTTTTTTCTGTCACGAACACTCAAGCCATTTACTTGCGCTTCGTCTCCTAACCCACGTTGCTCTTTGCTCTGCCAGGAAATGAAGGCAACTCAGAATGGAACACGGAAGTGGTCACAGCTCTGTCCTGCAGCTACGAGCTCTATCTAGCATGCTGCACTAGTTGCCATGGTTAAGTTAAGAAAAGGATTGCAAAAAAACGGCACCAACAGGAAATGCAACTGACCCTCAGTTTGTTGGGACTCTTTAAAAACAGTGAGGGGGAATTCAGGAAAAATGCAGTGCAGGAACAGTTTTTCCCATTTTCAAGTGAAGATTTATTTTTTTTGGATATTGTTTTACTATTTCATTCCAGTGAGCGGCAACCGCTCATGTATTTTGTTCTTTTACGTCATTATAAATTGACTGAATTGACTGAACCAGCAATGTCCCCGCACATTTTCATGAAATTCTACTTTTGATATGGTTGGTAAATCATTCTACTTTACACTTTAGCGCATAATCTAAACTATTTCTAATTCCACCACTGTTGAAATCTGAGCTTTTACTTTAAGTTAAGTACATGTGGAACCTGCGACAAACGGAAGACCTTTTCAGGCTGTGCTTTACATCTCTATCACTAGTGATTAGTCGACACGTCCTCTGATGCAGAAAATGATTGGGCGGGAATGGAAAATGGTAGGATTAATGTACATAAAAACTGAATTGACACAAATCTTAAAATGATTTACTAATTTGCTATTCTCAAGTTATCTTTTAGTATTCAATTAAGACACCAGTGAAATGTTCCAAATGCGTTATACACCCTGGATTTTGAACTCCTTCAAATATCATGCTGTTAAGATATACTAAACACATTTTTAATTTATCACGTTAATCTCTGCTTTTGTCAAATGTCAATTTCAGCAATGATTGCTTTATTGGAATACACATTGTTTCTCTACTATTTTTCTTAACGTTGACAGTGTAAGTTTCATTTTAAATTATATAGAGCAGAGTTTAGATAAGGCAAAAAATGTAATTCAGTTTACTTCAGTTAAAGTTCATTTTCTCTTTCAAATGCAAATGCACAAAAAACTACATATGACAAATTATTTGAGAACTGCACAGACTTCAGCTGCTTACAGACATCATATTGAAAATGGCATCAATATGTTGGATACATTGAAATTCAGCGGAACTCTGAGAGATACTGGGGACACCAAGTTGGGTGCACATCAACATGTACGTACACAAGCACGCTTACACAAAACCACATATACTCAAGGGTTTTCTTAACACACCACCCACAGAAAGTAATGTTGAAAAGCTTGCAGGAACACACCCCAAAAAATCCTCTCATCTTTGTGAGATGTACCCCCCCCACCCATCTCCCCAACCTCCACCCACACAGTCGCATTTACAGTACACGCTCACACCATCACACACACAGAATGTCAAAGCAGAACAGAAACATGATTGGAAAAATTCCCGTGGCTTTGTTGCAAATGAAAGAATGCGTTTTAAACAGTGCCTTCTTATTAACAACAGCCTTTGATTGAACATAAGTGTTTATTCTTTTGCCAAAGGGGCTCACAAAACCTGTCACTTTTCAGCTTCTCACATCACAGGCGTGTGCTGTACTGTCTGGCGTTGTCGGGTTTGGAAAGTTTAAGAAACGTGAAGTAGTACAAATGCACACACAAGTCAAAGGCTTGTTAGACTGTAGCTTGTCATTTTTGCCCTCGGTTTAAATGATTACATGTTTTGTGGTGATGTTTTTCGTATAAAAAAGAACAGAAAACAAAAGATATTGTCAGACTCATCCGCTGACAGATTTACGTCTTTATCTCACCCATGGAAAATAATTCAACTTTTCCTATAAACACGATCACACATTCAACAAACAACTGCAACGTCTTCAAAAGAACTTATGTTTGGGGGTTAGATATCATCAATTCAATGTTTTGCACAAATTAAAGCCTCTCTTTTGACTGACAGTTGATAGACTTAAAGAAATTCTAGCACACTACTTCCTCCTTACAGTCGCCTCAACAAGAAAGGTTTACAATATCAAACGGGTACTTACAGGTGGCCAAATGGATAACCCCTACCCAGAACAGCACAATCTTGACTCCTCTGAGACCTGCCATGTCCAGGAGTTAGGGTGTGTACGGCAACACACCGCACGGTATAATCCTAGCAAAGGCCGACACTTGGATAATCAGTTGTAAACTTAAGTCCTATTCCCTATCACTAACTAGACTTTCGAAACGGCGCCTAATTTCAACCTACATAAGTTTTTCTGTCTTTTCTGTCCGCGCAGCTTCCTGGACTAGTTCTCAAAACCCTACGAACTTTGCCTCCGGTTTCAAGTCATGCAAGTGGGAGTGATGTCACACACTGAGCGAGCCTGCCTTCACCTTAACGCTTGGCGACAGGAAGTTTCATTTCAGCTACGCCACGAAGAACAGGAAGCCATTTCTTGTCTGATCTTCACTTGCTTTTGCTCAAGTATGAAACCCCTTTACAGCAAAAAAAACAAATTGAAAAGGTTCTCTCTGTGGGGCAGTTTTTCAAATGGTGCTCTTTCGGAACAATTTGAGCCGCAACGCCATTCAAAGTAACTGGGTGTCTCTAAGACAATAGAATAAGATAGTGAACACAAACTGAGGAAAATGGTCAACAGAGGCACAAAGGCCTTTGGGTGTAAGTTAGCAGCCTGATTAATTTTCTTCTCGGACCCAGTAATGCATCTTCTCACAGTCTGTCTTATTTCCATACTGACTCTTCTCTGCATTCAAGCCCACAGACACATTATCGCTCACCCACGTGCTCACATCGAACTAACGGTGCAATTTGCAAACTGCAGGCCTCCCGTTCTCGCCCTCGCTTTTCTGTTCTGATTTCCTGTCTCGTTGCAAAGGTAGAAAAGGTGTGGACATTGATTCCAGAAATGAATATTTTCATTTCTGCCACTCATTCTGTGTGAACTACGTTTAAGGGCAGTATTAGATCTCTTCAGAGTCATTGATCGTGCGTGGTGTTTGATCATAACACTCTGCCTTGGAGCCAAAAATGCTTTACTTCTGTTTGCATACACAAGGAAATGGAGGATAAAAGAAAATGGAGAGGATGTAAAATAAACTCTCTTGGGTATGAGACACCGAATGGTGAGCTGATGTGAATCTGGATAAATACCAGCTTTATTTTAGCTTTGATAGTTAGCACTGAGCAGTCAGATGTTTAACTTGATTCTGCCATAGTTACAAACCCAACTCTGAGAAAGTTAATTTTACTGATAGAAAATCTGTGGAGAATTTTTGGTCTAAACCTGATACTGCCCCTGTTTGCTCTAAAAAGACAGACGTTTTAGTCTAAATGTGGACCTGTGAGACACATGGTATTTGGCTATTTGAAAAAAAGGTAGATTCTTTGTTCAGGAAGTCGCCCTTAAAAAAAAAAGCATCACATTCATGTAGCAAAATGAAACTGTTGTCAGAACGTGTTTGTCTTTAAGCCATGACAACTCAACTCACGGCCCGTTAAGCTGAACTCTGATGTGAAGCCATTTTACAGCAGAACCAGAACATCAGCGCTGCCATTCTTCTGCTGTTTAGTGGATTGATGGAAAAGTTGATACATTGCATACTGTCTCAGAGAACAGACTGCTAAAATGAAAGGGTTTCATTGTAGTATGATGCAATCAAGAGTTTTTTTTAACGGCAGTCGGGTCAGTTTTTTTAAGGATATTAAGGCCAATCTATTTATTAAGATGATAAATAGAATTGGACTTTTCATAAATTGGTATACATATAAGAACTCAAAACACACATTGTAATATATATATTGCCAAGTTTATGAGTGGATCCAATTACAATAATTTTAGACCAAAAGTATATAGACTGTCAGTGATATGACTAAGGTTGAAAACAATGTGGTTTTTAAAATGTATCATTTAATGTCAGATTTGAAAGATCAATAGGCATTGCAGATTTTTCCATTGCCACCACATTCAGACAATTACTCAGGCATTGATGTCCCACAGTGGCTGTAAATTTTTTACAAATGATTAATCTTATTCAACTGAAATGAGTCATATTCACTTGGCATCAATAAAATATTGAATCCGTTGTGCTGTTTCTGTATTGATACGTCGAAATAGAGCAGATAGAACTGGGATCAGTCTCAGCAATGTTAGGCCTGGGAATCAGTTTGTTGGCAGCATGTTTGGTCAATGATGTGGTTCGAATTTCCACAGTAAAGGTATAGTCTGACACCAAACTGCGCAGTGACATTGACTTACGCACGTATTTCAACAAAACTACCAATCCTACTTTTTATCAGGTGAAGCTACTAATTACTGAAAGCTGTTATGTAAAAGGGGAAAAAATAACTGCAAAATGTTATTCCCTTTTGTGTGTGTGTGTGTATCGGATTATAGCTGGAGAGAATCTGCTAAGAAAGTAGGTTTTTTCAAAAGGCAAATCACAAGTACACTTAAGCAGCCGGAGCTTTGCTGAAGTGGTTTGAAAATTATGTCAGGAAGTGAACAGTTGTGTCACCAACAAATATAGAAAGTTGTCCCCCTGTGATACGGTGACTCAAAGTGCAACTGCATGGCTCACTTGTTGTAACTTTAGTATGTTTTGCAAGTAAGTTTTTGCTCTAAATACAAGTTAATGTGTTGAGTGAAGCTTTGTCTTTGATTTGAATCACACCAAATGCTGACAACGTTGTGCTATCAATTTATGTTCCTGAGAGCTATTTTACAACCACACCTCAAAGAAACATATAGTGGTTTTACAGCCTAAAAAAGACACAGTAGCAGCAAACCACTCTTTATGCTACCCAGCAGAACAATGTGTCTCAATGGTGAGAGTTAAAATACAATAGGCTTAAGGAAGAAAAAAGCCGCTTCCATACGATGAGCATGACAATATTTGTGCCCTTCACAAATTTGATCGTAATGTGAGCATTTTGCTGTCCTTAACAGAGCATTTGATGGCACTGGATATAACCAACAGGACTGCAACACATTATACTGTGACATAATAACTTAGCTAGAAGCTGTATGAGGCCTTGTAACCATGTTTCACCCAAAAATTTACGTTTATACTTTGTCTTTCCAAAATTTACAGTAAAACCTTTAATCATATCATATTCAAATTATTCATTTCTGTTTTAACCACTGCCTAAAAGCCTGGGCTAGGTCGACACACTCCTTTCAGTAGCTCAGTGTCTCATATCCATCTGACAGAAACCTTCAAGACGAAGGGAAAGGTGCTTGCTCTGTCATCAGCAGACCATCCTCAGATTGATGAGACTTCAGGGGGGACACTGATATAAATGTCTGAAATGTTTGAATGTACAGGTCTAAAAGTACAACAAAAACTTTCTCCATTGCCTCTCAGTGACATTACATAAAGATAGTAACTGAAAGGAGTGGCGAGTGGCTTTGACTGGTTTCCAGAAACTGCTTAAAGTGTATTAACTTAATTGCTGGTGTAAGTAAAAGTGTCTGCGGCTTCTATTCTCAGCCCTAAATGTTTATGTAGGGGTTGAGGAAGAAGGTGTGGTCTGGATGAGAAACTGTGTCACAGCTTCCCTAATTCAATTTTTGCTCACATTTTTCTTTCTTTTTCTTTTTAAAAAAAACAATTTGGGTTGTTGCACAAAAGCATTTTTTTTTATCTTCCTCTCCTGTTTCCTTCTTTTGTATCTTCATTCTCCTTTCCCTATCTATCTTATTCTCATCACTGCAGATTTTGGAGGCACCAGACATGAGCAGAAAAGACATTGGAGGAAGAAGGCCAGAGACAACCAATTGAAAAATGTGCTGTTAGTTCCTCTCTGCAGTCACAGCTGTGACCACAGGGAGGTGAGATAAAAATGGATTGCAAGTGATGCCTTTGTAAGCGCTACACTCTGATGCACAGTTTTTCCTCCTCTCTTTGCACGCTGCACCTACTCTTTGTATGTGGGTTAAGAGTTTCAGGTGTCATCTCCCTGCAATTCATTCTTTTCGATGTCTGCCTGTTGTTCTCAGCACATATATTCTTACTTTAAAGTGTTTTTCAACAGGGTCTTAACTTTGTGTTTAAGTAGGTAGCACAGTGTTTTATATGCGTTTTCATTTTATATTAGAATGATGCAATTTAATTTTTTGCTATCTCCATTTTGTCTTTACAAGTACTATTGCTTGGTCGTAGCACACTTTACTGTCTATTTTAAAATAGTACATTTATTACTTTTTTTTCTTACTTTTTTGCTTTTTTACTAAATAAACCAGGTCTGTGTTTTACAGTTGGCAGGTGCTTCTGAAAATGAAAGCTCAAAATTCACTAATGAATGAGCACATGAATTAATGCATGTACCTTTAAAAACATGCAGCCTTTCTTTATATGATATATGAAGTTCATATTTGAAATCTTGAGCACATTACAGACATGACTATGCATCGACAAAATATTTCTGAGTCGGATGTTTGTATGTATTTGTTACGCCTTTAAGGAGTTAAACCCAGTAGATCCTCACTGTTTTTTGATTGAAATAAATTAAGATACTTGGCGATTTAAAAAAAGACTTTTGTAATTAACAGGATCAACAAATGCTTTCGCTATTGCACACAGAGAAGCCTTTTGTATGAGCGTTTCTCCACATCTTTAACCATCTTTTACCTCATGCTAAAACTTCAGAGGGACTTTGTGGAGTGCCGATCATTGTCAGAACAAACCTCCTTTGCACTTCCCTTTTCTTCTTCCTGTCTGCCCTCTTTAATGCTCTCTGTAGTACCGGCAGATTTTCTTTATCCAAGCCCCCCTACTTAGTATACCACCCATGAAGCCATGCCTATCAAACTTGAGAAGGATATTTTACAGTTCTCGGAGTTCTAAAAGCCCCACAGTGCACCAGCAGGCCTCGTTCTGCGTTACTTAACCAACAGTCAGCCCTCACCTCCGGAGTTTCACAGCACGACTTGTTCTGTGGTGGTGAAGCAACAGAAAAACCACTGGAGGGCAGTATGACTTCACGTTGCGTTGCAGCTGTTCTACTTCACACATATTTGTCTGCTGACTTGTTTTTTGGAATAGCCAAGCGGCTGAATGCATTTTATGCGCACACAAACACGTGTACACACACACACACACACTCGCTC